GTCATTTCCTACTGCTGACCCCAAGGCCTTCCCGCAGGTATCTTGCTTCTGCTCACTTCTGTGGCGGAATGACTCCTGATGGGATAAGAAGGCGATAGAGCCCCACCTGCTCAAAGCCGTCCACTCCTGCCCTCACTGTATCCTCTCCAGGATTCAAGAGGGCTAAGGTATGCCCTTCTCCAAAAGGCATTCCCAGTCAAGTGGACTGGGAGTTTCTGGCTTCTACCACAAACAGAGGCGTCTTTTTCTAATGGGTAGAAAAATGCTCCAAAGCTGCTTTTTTTTTTTTTTAAAGCACTGTTTTGTTTGCTGCTGTCTTAATTGTTGCTATGTTATATTTTATCAGTTTAATGTTTTAATTTTGTGCTTGGGCCTCGAGGCAATTCAGTGAAGGGTATGATTTGGAAAATCAAGGAAATAAAGAAATTGTCCACAGCAGAGGCAGCCTCCCAGGAGCCAAGGACAAAGTCTAAGTGCCTAAAATGAATTTTATTAGGAACAAAACAAAAACAAAACAACATGTTGCTAGACAGAAGATATTAGGCTACCCTGGCTTGGTTTGGTTTTGCTTTTTAATTTAATACCAGTTTTCCATTTCTTCCAAGGTCAGCCAAGGACGCACGACCCAATTCCTCCTTGATGACCTTCTTAGAAACTTCCATTTTTCTATTTCCAGGCCTACATTGGTGGTGAGTGCTCTGCCTTCTTGTCTTCATTTAAGGACTGGTGTTGGGAGTAACGCAGCTAACCAGACAGCCACAGATCTGCCTCTGTGGTCTTTACATTCTAGTAAGGGCAGCATCATAACTAGAGAAGTCATGCCTCCAAGGGTGAGAAAATTGGTTCTTGAAAGGGTGAAAAAAATTTTGCTCTTACAATGATTTATATTGGGCCCACCCTGGTGACACAATGGGTCAAAGTGCTGTACTATGAAGCTATCCACAGCCACTGTAGCAAGAGTTTGATCCCCAGCCAGGGAGCTGACCCACATGGCGTGACAGACCTCTCCTGACCTGCCCGCTGCTCCCTTCAGCAGTGTACTTCATCCGTCTGCCTGTTCTGCTCCCCATTCTGTCTCTGGTGAATACTTTTACCACCCCCACCCCCACAGCTCTAGCCTGTACCCCAGTTCTTGTATGCATAAATAAATAAATATTTTAAAATGATGATTTGTATGCTCATCACCCTGTCTTATCTCCGTGAGGGGTCTCAGTCGGTAAGCTAGGCCATAGGGCCAACTCCAGCTGCTGAGCTTACACCCTGAGCTCAGGAGCCTGGTTACTGACCTCCTGGCGGCCCAGTCCATGAAGATTTCCAGTTTCTCCCTGAAAACTAGCCCACCCATTTTCACCTCCCTCCCTTCTCAGCCACCATCACAGGGTCCAGTGGCTGTGTCCTGTTTTGTCCACAATTTAGACCCTGTGCCCCTTTTCCCACCCAGCTGGCAAGATCCCAGGCCTGGATAAACCTGACTAAGACCTTTCCACTGTCCATACCTGAGTAGGTGAGCCATGTCGGGGGACATCCCCTAGCAGGACAGGCGGGGGCCAGGACACACAGAAAGTCATGGACACCAACCTCGACCAGGTTGCTGCCACTCTCAGACAGTTGGGGATTTGTGGGCAATCTTGCTCAGCACTCTGAGTCTCATTCTCCTCCCTCCTTCAAACTCCTCACCACCTCTTCCTCGCTCTCCGCAGAAGACCTTGCCTCCCACTTTGCAGAAAAAATAGAAGCTCAAGATGAGATCTCCCTTAACATCCCACTACAAACCTACATCTACGTCTGCACTCATCCTCTCTTTGTTCCTTCTTTTGGTTCTAGAGAAGTCATCCCTCCTCCTCTCCAAGACCAACCCCTCCACCCACACACTTGATCCCACCCCTTCAGATGCTTGTGAACATCCCCTCGCTGATTAGCTCCCCAGTTCCCTACACCCTCAATTAATCTCTCTCCCTTTAATCTGCCATCAGCCTTTAAACAAACTCAGGTCTCCTGCACCTTATAATGCTTCCCCCGCCACCCGACCCCCCCACCCCCCCCATGCACATAGAACCCCGTCACCACATCTCTCTCCTCCCCTTCACACAAAAACTTTTCAAAAGACCCACTGCCTTCCTTCTCCCTCCTTCACCAACCCCACTGCTGCCACGGCACTTTCTCCATCAGGCCGCTGGAGCAGCACCCCCTGAAGCCGCCAGGCCTCTCCACACTTGTCCTTGAACCAGTGCCCACATTCCATCCTCATTCCAGCCAACCAGCCAACATAAAGCATCCTCCTCGGCTCTTCCCTTGATTTTTGTCCTATGCCCATGCTCTTCTCTGTCTTCCTTCCTCTCTGTCCATTCCTCCTCACCTTTGTAGGCATAACCTTCTTGTGGCCCTGACCTGTAGGTGTGCCCAGAGCACCATCCCAGCCACCGCCTCTCCTCTCTCCTGCTCTTCCTGGGCAGTCCTGCCCTTTTCCTCAACCTCAATGATCCTGTCTCTGCTGGCAATTTGCCCAAACATAGTCTTCCAAGTGCCCAATCAAAATCTGTACCTGGTGTCTCAAAGACATCTCCAGCTCAACATGTCTACGGAACTTGTACTTTTTCTGTCCCATCTCACAGCTCCGCTCCTCACTCACCCCCCACCGCAATCCCATTCAGCTGTCCCCATCTCATCCCCTGCCTCTGCACAGAAGCCTCGGGGTCCACCCTGATGCATCCTTTTTACTCAACACATCTCTAGGCTGATCTCTCTTCCTGATAACTCTGGAAACTTCTGCAGTTCCCCAATGCTACTTCCACCAGTAACCCCTACACTCCTAACCCTAACTTGTCTTTCTGCATCTCCTTATACACCCAGTACTCCACAGGTCATATTAAAATTCAAATGTCTGCTCTTCTCTGGTGGCACAGTGGGTTAAAGCACAGCACTAAGAAGCTAAAGCCACTTCTGTGTGAGTTCGATCCCCAGCCTCGGACTGATCCACATGGCGCAGCAGACCTCTCCTGACCAGCCTGCTGCTCCCCTCAGCAGTGTACTTCGTCAGTCGGCCTGTTCTGCTCCCCACTCTGTCTCTGGTGAATCCTCTCAACCCGTGCACCTCGTACCAAGTAAATCTTAAAAAAAAAAAGAAATTGGGCAGGAAGAGTATACGACTATGATAATAGGCACATGGGTGAATTGGTGATGGGAATTCCAAGGGGATTACAACCAAGATGAAAAAATGTACAAAATGAAGAATGATGTTAAAATATATACATATACAAAATTAAAAGAAAACACATCCTTTTCCTTTCTACACCTACTCATTGTTTGTAACAAAGAATTTGTATTACTGTTGTTTTAGTTTGCGACTCCTCCAGTGGACTTTATTGGGACAGAGAATGTTTCATCCCCCACAGGGGGTGCTCAAAAATACTTGCTAAGTGGTTGAGTGGATTAATTTCCTCCCTCTTCAATTACCTGGTGCCAGGAGCAGTAAGCAGTTCCTAATCTCTAGGAGGGTCAGCAATGAACGTGATGTGCTTACCACGCCCATATTAGATGCATCTTTCACATTTTCTAGAGCAAAGTTTCTATAGCTCATGTTGTCTTCAGATTCTCAACAGGTTCGTGAAATTAAGAACAGTTATTCACATATTCTCTCAGCCTCTCCGCCAACCTCCTCTCAACCACTACATTATAACAGTAGTTTTGTTCTGCACAAGCCTATTCTCCCACTCCAGTCATAGGGATTTTTAAAAATATTTATTCATGCATACAAGAACTGGGGTACAGGCCAAAGGTGTAGGAGGTGAGAGTGTTCACCAGGGACAGAGTAGGGAGTAGAACAGGCAGAGTGACTGAAATGCACTGCGGAGGGAGCATCGGGTGAGGTAGGAGAGGTCAGTCGACAGCGCCATGTGGGTGACCTCCCTGGCTGGGGATCGAATTAGTGCTGCAGCTTCTGAAGACAGCTTTGTACTGCTGTGCTTCAACCCCTTGTGCCACCAGGAAGGCCCCAGTCATAGTGAACTTATCAAAACCCAAGGTTTAAGGATTGTCTCCTTAAGCCTGTAAGAGACATCTACTGACACTGGAGCAAAATGCACATTTGGCTGGGGGAAGGGGTTGCTATAGACCCATCAGCTGGTCCAAATTCATGTGTCCTCACTTGTTCCCCTTGTCCCCCCGCCCAAACTCTCCCTATAGCCCAGTGTGGCACAGAGTGGCTTTTGTTTAGTTTTCCCCAGCCTATGCCAAGGCGAGTTTTCCTATCTACACCCACTTGGGATGCCAGTGCTCTCCTTTGCACCTAGAAAATCTTGTTCCATCTTTAAGCCTGAGCTTATATGTCTCTTGGGGGTTAGGTGCCCCTCCTCCCTGCTCCCACAGGCCTTTCCCCAACAACACACATAAGGCATGGAACCACAGTTGCCTGGTTACCTACTATCTCTTTCTGTGCCTGTGAGCTTTGAGGCCAGCTAGCATGTCTGATTCATCACCCCACCCCCACCCCGCATTCTAGTCAGGCGCTACCCCAAGGTATGATGCTCAATAAGGATTTGTTCAACCAGTGAAAGAATAAATCAACAGATGACAAATAGTGCCAGGCTCATGGGTACTACAAATATGCAAAATGAATAACTGATTGGGCAAATGGAAGCCCGGGTTTAGAAAGAGAGTAAGATTAGGATGTTTGGAGAGGAGTAAGAAGCCCCACTTGGTGCAGAGAGGAAATTAAGATGGAAGATAATCCCTTCAAGGAGCAAGTCTGAAGGACTTTAAAAGAGTCATTTACAGCCTGGCCTACCCAGGGGGCGGGTCCAGTCCTAGACACGCCCCCCGGCAAGACGCGGTTTTTTTCTGCCCTCCGAACCTGCCCTTTCCATATCTAGGGGCGGAGCCTGCCACTTCAGAGGTTAAAACTACATTTCCCGGCGAGCCGCGCGGTCGGGAGAACGAGGAGCCGGAAGTGTGGCGCGTGAGGTCTAAGGGCACGAGGGAAGTGGCGGGCTGGGACTGAGGGGGGCGTGCAGGTGAGCGGGCTGTTGCGGGCATGGCCGAGGCCAGGAAGCGGCGGGAGCTGCTGCCCCTGATCTACCAGCATCTGCTGCATGCGGGCTACGTGCGTGCGGCGCGGGAAGTGAAGGAACAGAGCGGCCAGGTAAGCGTGCGCGGCGGCGTGGAAGGGCCGCGTGCGAAATGTGGGGAGTTGCGGCCCGCCTCCCTTACCCTGACGGTCTAGACGGCGGTCAGAATCGGATCCCGCGGTGCTACGGGGTGCGGCCGGGCCCGAACGAGCTGCTGCCTCTGCCCGGCCTCTGCGGCTCCTAGGTCCCCGGGCCTCAGTTTCCCGAGTAGTGCAGTGGGCGTGCCGGCATCTGTGATCGTTCCCACAGGCCTTTGTAAGTCCCGCGCCCCTTAGCTCCACCTTCTCCCTGGTGGTTCCCTGTTTTAAAAGTTTCTGCCTCAGGCCACGTGGTTGTGCGCGGGCCCCCTAGGGCTAGAAGGTGGCTGAGAGTCTGTGGAGTGAGTTGCCCTGAGCCCTGGGGCGTTAGGAGAGCGTAGAAAGAAGGCACTTGTGGCCCTGTCGTCCAGTTCTCAGCTTTGGGATTTGAACGCGGGGTACAGTCATATCATAGTTCATTCATTCATTGGGCAACTTAACCTGGAGCTTTGGGTAGTTGAGAACTATTAAGAATGTCCCCCGGCCCTTCTGGAGTTTAACATCTAATGGGGAGATAGGCGTACATCAGGAATGTGAAAGTAAGTGCTTAACATTACATTAAGTTCCAAGAGGGAGAGGCATAGGGTGATAAGAGTGGCAGACAAGGGATATATCCAGGACTGCTTTCTTCGGTAGTCTCCATTTGAAATCTGACAAGAAGGAGGGTGAATTTTCCAGACAGAGGTGCAGATGACCTGTAGTGGGAGGGAAACCTGTGTACTATAACCTCCAGAAAGCCCTGAAGTGTGGAATAAAGGGTGGTAGAGCCCCTTGGGGCCAGGAACCCTCTTATAGGCCCTTTGGCCTTTTTTGAAAGAGCAAGTGTTGAGCCACTAATGGGTTTTTAAACTAGTGAGGTAGAAACTGATTAGTTAATTTTCCTTTGTAGGCTCTGCCCTAAAAAAATGTTTATTTTTAAGATCTCTTTGACTAATGGGTAATGGATTTAAGATATTATCTTAATGTCTGTACTTTGCGTAAACCTATGTGGACCTCATTTGCCCTTCCACCAGTTGTATCACTTAACATCTTTGGGGAAACAGGGACTGACAGGACAGGATGCAGTACCCATCTTCATTGGCACATTTGCCTAGGCGAAAGTATTGTACCTTGTTGGAGCATACATTCTAGCAGTGGCAGACAGATGACAAATATATATTTTTTAAAGATTTATTTATTTACACATACAGAGCTGGGGTACAGGCCAGAGGTGCAGGGGCGATGAGAGGATTCACCAGAGACAGAGCGGGGAGCAGAACAGACCAACTGATGAAGTACACTGCTAAGGGGAGCAGCAGGAGAGTCAGGAGAGGTCTGCCACACCATGTGGGTCACCTCTGGGGCAGGCAGGGATCGAACTCATGCTTAAGTGGCTTTAGCTTCTTAGTGCTGTGCTTTAACCCACTGCGCCACCAGGGAGGGCCCTAACAAATATTTTTAAAAAGTGAATAGTATCTGGTGTCAGGTGATGGTAGGCGTTAGCTGTACAAGTAAGGAAGGGAATGTCAGGGTTCAGTCATACAAAGGGAGGTCAGGAAGCCTCACTTAGCAGTGACATTTAGGCAGAGACCTGAAGGAAGTGAAGGAGCCAAGTATATAGTTAGCAGGGGAGACAATATTCCTGATGAAACACCTTGGTGGGGACTGGTGGCACATCTGTGGGGCAGGGAGGGGGCTGGTAGGCTTGGGCTGGGATAAAGTGAGAATCACTCTCGAAGTCTTGGTGTTACTGGTCACTGTGCTGACCCTTGGCTGGATTATCTCATTTAGACCTAGTCATTTGCTCTGTGGGCTCTACTGTTATCCCCGTTTTATCAAGAGGGAGCCTCATAAAGCAGTTAAGGGATTAGCTTAGCCAGCTAACCGAGAAGTGCTGTCGGACTTCATATTGGATCTCTTGGCCCAATATCTGACACTATTTTGTCCTCGCCTCCTTGGGGCACTGGACACTTGGACCCTCTGGCCTCAACTCCAGAGGCCTGGACTCCACTTCGTTCCCTCTGCTTTTCCCAAGAGACGGTCACCATTTGGATCCATTTTCCTCCTACTGGACTTGTGAACTGCATCATGCCATCTGCATGCCTTTGTGTCTGACTGTGGTTCATACTGCCTTAGAGAGCTTGGCCAACCTTCCCGTTAAAAGCCTCTGAAAGGTCAGGGGTGGCCAGTAAGTGTAGAGAATGCCATGAAGGGTGGGCGCCAGATAAATGCTGGTTGGGAACATCCCAGCTCCAGGTCCTCAAAAATACCTCTCATCAACATGTTGTCTGAAAAGTTTTTAGCTGGAAATTCCTGTCCTGCTTGTCTCTAGGAGGCTTGCCTAGTATGGCAGACATAGTTCCCAGAGCAAAGAGACCATTTTCAACCACTAGTCTCTGCATGTCATGAGATCTTAGCGAGAAGGGATCAGGAAGGATGCTTATTCTGATGCTTGCTCTTTACTTTTCTGCAGAAAACTTTCCTGGCTCAGCCTGTCACTCTTCTGGATATCTACACGCACTGGCAACAGTAAGTCCACCAGGGCTGAAGGTGTGGAGAGGAACCTCCAAGCAGTCGGTTTGGAAGAAGGGTACTAATACCAGGAAGCCAGGTCACATATCTGGGTGTCTGGTAGGGGCAAGGACACTGAGTCCCATGATCAGTGTTTCTAAAAAACAAAAGCTTCTGGTAGTCATTCCATCAACGAACATTTTTTGGGAAGCCACTGAATGCCAGGCCCTGCCCTAAGTACAGTGATACCGACATGACTGCCGCGTGTCCCATGGTTTCTGCTTTCCTTCCGGGTGGTCACCTTGCAGTTAGACATGTCATGAGAAAAAGAGGTGGCTGGTGTCAAACGCACATCAGCAGGTTAGCCTGGCTTCATTTGGGGGTTGAAGGAGACTTCTCTGGGTGACCTGACTGAGAACTGCAAGGAGTAGGGGAGCGAACATAGTAATGGACAGGAGGCAAGGTGTGCGAGGGGTTGTGTCTTACAGGAAGCTGCTAGCGCTGAGGCCTGCATTGCAAGTGCCACTGGGCACTGTCCCAAGAGTTTGGGAATCATGTGGGGGGGGGGGGTTGGTGAAAGAAAGTGGTTTGGTTTAGCCACCATGCAGGACTGGTGGGCTGGGAGATCTGTCCCTGCAAGAGCTGGTGGGGCATGAGGCATCTGTTATACAGATTCCTGGGGTTGGAGGGGTGAAACTAGCATCTGTGTGTGACTGTGCACCTGGATGCAAGGTGCATGGGCCTGGGCATGAGGTGGAAGGAACCTGATTTAGGGGGGAAGATTTTCAGGACTTACTGAGTGAAATGTATGTGAACTTACATGTAGAATGTACATGCTTTTCAAGGAATGGGGGAGAATCCAGAGGAAGGGCTTGAACAGGAAGGAGAGGTTAGTTGTCATCTCCCCGCATATTGACCTGACCACTGTGGGGGTGAAGGACCTGAGTTATGTCCCATGAGGAATAATAGAGAATCTGAAGGGCCAGATAGGAGAAGGGTGAGAGAGGGGCACTGTGGGCACGTCTCTGAGGACATGCCGTGTTGCTGGGCCCTGCGAGGATGGAGATGGACTTTCCCTGCTATGACTGAGTTCAGCTTCTGAATCTAAGCACTGGGTCATCAGAGCCTTCTAACAAGCAGGTCAGCCACAGTAGAGTGGTGAGCTCCCTCTCACCAGAGGTGTGTAACCAAAGTCAGGAATAGTGTGAAAGGGGCCCTAGCTTCCAGTGGAGAGCTGAAGTCAGCCCTAAGTGCTTCCCTTTCCCTGCTACTGAGGCAAACTCAGTTCGCAAGTAAGTCCTGCACTTACTTGCTCAGGTGTGCGTGTGTTGCCCAGCCCTTCCTTCCCCAGAGAACCACTTCCTCAAGCTGCAGTGTATGCCCCTTCCTTGCACTGGCCCCTTTTCCAGATGTGGGGTACTTGAGTAAAATAGGGAAATAGGCCCTCCCTGGTGGCACAGCGGGTTAAAGCACTGCACTGAGAATCTAAAGCCACTTCCACATGAGTTCGATTCCCGCCTGCCCCGGAGGTGACCACATGGCGTGGCAGACCTCTCCTGACCCGCCCGCTGCTCCCCTCAGCAGTGTACTTCGTCAATCTGCCTGTTCTGCTTCCCACTCTGTCTCTGGTGAATCCTCTCACCCTCCGCATCTCTGGTCTGTACCCCAGTTCTGTACAAATAAATAAATAAATCTTTAAAAAAAAAAAAATAGGGAAATAACCCACCAGAGGCAGTGCAGCTTAGTGGTTCCTACAAAGTTCAAATCTAGCATGTGGCTACATGGAGTTGGGCAAACTTGGCCTCCCTGTGTCTGTGTCTTCATCTGTAAAATAAAAATAATGCTAAATTAAATGCTGGACCTTGCCATCAGAAGCACATCTCTTCCCCCCCCCCATGTTTATTGAGCAACTACTGTGAGCACAGACTGTTCTCCTTAATAGCTGAGAACGAATAAGAGAGAAATGATTGCCCTTGTGCAGCTTCCATTCTTTTGGGAGGAGAGGGCAGCATGAACTGACCTGTGAAAGCTGGCTTCGTAGGCAGTTTCCCAAAACGTGACCTGGGAGAAGGGGGCTGAGCAGTGTCTCTGCTAGGAAGAGGGGTGGAGCCAGTGCCACTTCGGGGGCAGGAGGGTGGAGTAGAGAAGTGATACTTAGAAAGTTCTAGGCCTTGGCCTTCTGCTTATACTACCAATACCCCAGGCTGACTCCTTGACCCTGGCAAGGCACGTAGTTGTACATTTGTTCATTTGAGATGTGCTGTATCTAACCCCCCCTTCCTGGCTTGCTATGTTACGGGGAGTGGGGTAGGACAGGGAGTGTGTATGGGGAAGGGGGTTCTCTGGGGATGCTGTGTTACCTTTGAGGCCTGAAGGATAAGGAGGGCCTGGACTCCTCTGGGAAGAACTCTTCCAGAAAGTTTTAGAGGGAAGAGAGGAGACTCGTGCTTCTATGAAGTGCCTGCTGGTGCTACAGTGCACTATTCAGTGGCTAAGCTACTGTTCCTAGAGAGCTTTAGTGAAAATCTTTCTGATTAAAGATAGACAATTATGAAGACATTTTATAAAATGAGTGAAAATGCAGAATGCAACACTGTATCTCGTCATTTAGACTTCCCTCTCCTGGGGGTAGGGAGGCCGCGAGTGTTGGAAAGACTTTCAGACCTCTTGGAGTTGTCTGGTCTCCCAGTCAGTACAGCTCGTGCCCCTTGTTCTGCAGAACCTCAGAGGTGGGCAAGAAGCGGAAGGCAGAGGAGGATGTGGCCCTGCAGGCCAAGAAGACCCGGGTGTCCGACCCCGTCAGCAGCTCAGAGAGTTCGGAGGAGGAGGAGGAGGAGGAGGTGGCAGAAGCCGAGACCACTAAAACTGGTAAGAGCCCTGTGTTCTAGACCTGGGTGGGGGGTGGGGGAGGCAGCCCCTGTCGTTGGTTTTTGGGGACTCAGACCAGGTGCACCCTGACCCTGTTAGATACAGACTATGGGGTGAGAAGTTTGGGAGTGGGGAGGAAACTACCTTCAGCTTCTTAAGTGAGCCCTGAAAGACTGGGTCCTGTCAGAAGAAAGATCCAGAAGGCTTCACATCTATTTCATTGCATCATGGACCCCTTCTTATGCAAGCAGTGTTTCCAGGTGCTGGGGATTCAGTGGTAAACAAAAAATCAGATGAGCCTTGTAGTCAAATTCGGGGTACATACAGTCGGCCCCCACAATGGGGCCCTGGAGTTGCATCCCTCTGGGCTCCCCAGTGATTCTGATGGAGATGGACAAAAGCCCGCTCTCTTGGAATTGCTGGAATGATTTCAGAGGTGGCAACCAGTGGACACCTCTGTGTCCTGGGGGCTGCTCACAGCGTTGTGATTGTGGGGCTTTTTTGCCCCGGAGGCTATCCTGGCCGCTCTGACTTCAGAGCATCAGCTGGGGTGACTGGGGTCACAGCCCCTTCTCCAGGTTCTTGGCGCTCCTTGTGCTTCCAGTAGCACTTTTCTAGCTCCAGAGCACCTGGCCTCCCTCTGCTTACTGGGTTTGCTTCTGGAGAAGTAATGTCTTCATTTTAAAAAGTAGTTTCTGATTGAAAACTACAGAACTATGAAGTGTTCATTCTAGAGTATTTTTAATTACTCTTTTTAAAGGCAAGGACAATTTACCTATGGTCTTGCCACCTGTAATTAGACAAAATACACATCCATTTATTTCTCCTGAACATGTTTCTTTTCAGTATTTGCAGTCGTACTGCATGGTTTATATATTGCTTGTTATTTTAAAGGATATATATGCTAGACAAGTTTCCTTTGAGCTTTCCAGAAGCATACAGAAGAAAAATGGAAGGTTTGTGGTTCTCCTTCCCACCGGGGCCCCTCCTGCTGGAAGGGCTTCCAGGTTCTCGCCCCCGTCTCCCGGTGCTTACTCCTACGTGTGGGTACCTACCTGTGATTTAAAACACAAATTGTAAAATTTCATGCTGACTGGCCATTCAGTGGATATTTAAAGCTGTGATGATGGAATCATAATTATGCTTTTTAAAGGAGTCCTCACTGAGAGCACCTGAAGTATCTGTGGGCAGCCCGATACGGTGTCTGGCTCTTCAGGCTAATTCTCGATGGGAAGGGTGACCAAGGGACAATTGAAATCAGAATGATAATTAGAGATGGTCATTCAGTATCTGTCCTCTCTACTCATGAATGTGCTTAATCTTTCCATAATTAAAAAAAAAAAAGATATAGTTAATGCCAGGAGAATAATTAGATCAAGCCATTCATCTCTGCAATGTCCTCTTTAACCTCAGACCTTAGAATTCATTCCCTCTAAGCTCTAAGGAGACAGCACCCTAGTGTAACAGCACCACAAATTTGTTACATGGCAACATCTACCCAGGTCCAAGTCTCGGGGTTCAGCTGCTGCTCCTCTAAAGTACTATTTACATTGTGCACAGCTTTGTCTGTGGACTGGAGACTGACGGCCTGACCCCTGGCCCTGTCTCCCTGAGTAGACTGCAGTGCGACGACCTATTAGAAAAGCACCCCTGGAGATGTGTGGGGCTGTTACGGTAGTTTGGGCTGTGAGCCAGCCCTTTGCTTTGGGGCCTCAGATGCCACCTTGGGATCTATCAGGGATGCAGACACACAGAGTTGGGCCACTGTTCCCCTTGCTAGTGGGTGTGGCTGAGATATCGCAGAGCTGTCCCGTGGGCCTGAGTTCAGCCTCATCTGGCATGTGAGCACCAGGCAGCCACATCATTTGTTGGATGAGCTGAGACTTATTTGCTTTTCTTTGTTGAGGAAAAAGTCATCTGGCACATTTAACAATTTCTTGTGTCTTACAGCCCCGAGATTCACACCAAGCAACTCCTCAGCCCTGTCAGGGGTTTTGCCATCAAGTGTGAAAGAAAAAGCCAAGGTGAGTAGGGACCATCTTCCAACCTGTCCGCTGTGGGTGTTGACACACACAGCCCTGTAGGGCTATAGGTAATTTGCCACTCTGCGTTCAAATCTCAGCCTGTTGAGACCCTTCATTTCTCTGGGCTTCCGTTTCCTTTTTGCTAAGTGAGGGTGATAACCTGCTCTCTTGGCCACTGATATGTCTTGAACCTAGAATAGATGGTTTCTTTCCTCTTTTACCTATGCAATTGTTTCAACAAATCCCCACCTATGCAGTTCAGGCTGTGAGGTCGTGGAGACTCCATGGTGAGTAAGGTCCCTGTGGTTCTGAAAACTCAGAAAGCATCTTTTAGTCTGGAACTACTTAGAAAGTAGAATGTCATTTTCTGGTCACCTGTGAAGCAATGTTACAGGCACACAAAGGAGTGTGTCCCTGAAATTGCCTGGAGTGTTATCACTGATATGTAAAAGTCAATATGAAATAATGTAAGACCCACAATGCAGTACTACTTAGCCAGTCACTGCCACATCCCAGGAACTGTAGTCAGGTTACCCCTGGGCCTCTGAGGAGGGGTATGAATTTTGGCTCTACTTCAGCAGTTGGCAGAGACTCAAATAAGTGACTGGCCCGGGCTCACCCTGCTGGGTCATCTAGCGTCGGGTCTGCTCCTAGGTCTCCAAGTGCCTCAGTGTGTGTCTGCCCTGCCCATTCTCCATAGGCAAAGAAAGGTGGCCAGATGGTGAACTCCACAGCACACCCTACATCCGGAAAGGCAGTGGTCCAACTCCTCTCTGGGAAGTCCCCCAAGAAGATGCCAGAGCCCTCAGCGAATACCATCTTGGTCTCAGAAACTGAGGAGGAGAGTAGTGTCCCAGCCGTTAGAACCACCACGAAGCCTGGTAAGGAGTGCCCACCTCCAGGAAACAAACTCCCAAGCTTGAGCTGAGGAGGCAGCCTGGGCACTGCATTATCAAACTTTGGGACATTCTGGAACTCAGAGGTGTGTCTCCATGACAGCAGGAGCCCCACTTCAGGCTGTTTGCCCCCTCCATGGTAGAGGATCATCTGCAGGGACACGCGAGCTTTGTGTAGGAAGTTTGAGCAGCCGTGGTAATGGAGTGTTGTCTGGTTATTGCTTCCCGGTGAGCCCAGGGCCCACTGCGGAGGCTTGGAGACTTAGGTTTGTTTCTGTTTCTCACATAGCATGTGCCTTGCCCAACTCAGTTTAATGGCAGGTAGAGATTTTCTAGGCCATCTAATACTAGAGTGTGAGTGTCAGAACCTCTAGTAGCCCTCAGTAGGGCCTCAGGTATGTAGGAGCCTATGATATGTATGAATGGTCCCTGTCTCAGTTGTGAGGCTCCAGAGAGGGTGGGCTAAAGCTCTGCATTTAAAGGTTGGGTACATAGCAACCCTCTGATTAGGACTGGAGGGTTGTATTGCTGGGAGGGGAAGGCCATCTGTAAAGGATGACCCTCAGTGCCCTCTCTGTTGACTCCTCAGGAATGGCATCAACGGGACAGGCCGACAGCTCCAGTGAGGACACCTCCAGCTCCAGCGATGAGACAGACCTGGAGGTAATTGCCACACATCCTCAGGAGCTGCTCTCCACGCTTCTAGCCCTCCCAGAGCCTGGGTAGTCTTCATACACCTGTGAGCCCTGCTCAGTCAGCAAGTGTTCCAGAGAGAGTAGGAGCCAGGAGCTGCGTGTTCTCTGGTTGTGAGAGGTGGCTGGGACTGTGGGAGAGACATCCCACCTGTGAGTTCAGGAAGGCCTCTTGGGAAGACACCACTGGAACGCCCTGGAGCAGCTTCACCAGGGAGGGGTGTGGGGACTAAGTATCAGAAGAGTTTCATGAGCAGGACCTGGGCAGGAGCAGGTCCTGCGTGGGGTGAAGCAGCTCTGAGAGTTCTGTTCTGGCAAATTCCCGGCCTTGGCCTTTAGCTTAACATAAGTAGGACTTTGAGCCTGTGACCTTGTCTCTTTGAGCTAGGAGAAGTCCCTGCTCCTTGGGCAATTGTGGCCTACCTAGAATACAGCCACAACGGGAAGACAGACCTCCTGCTGCTATGGGGAGTTGAAGTCTCCATGCAGTTTGACTGGTGGCGGTTGCTGTGAAGGAAACCATAGGGAGGCCCTATAGCAAGAGGTGCCAGGGGTTGGGACTTTGAAGCAGCATCAATGTGTAATTTCATGGCTGAGGGGAGTGGGATGCCAGACAAGGAGGAGCGGCAGGCACCAAATTTTCTGCCTGCCTGGGGGACTCACTAGGAAGAACTAGGGTTTTATACTACGAGCCCTGGGGATGGTTCCAGACACAGGGGTAGTAGCCTGATCACTGGTCATGATCTGAATTGGAGGATGGTGCAAAATAAAAGTAATGCCACCATGGAGGTTTGGCAGGAGACGCTGGCAGCTGGCCCCAGGGACCACTGGCAGGGTTGTCATGGGGCGGGCGGGCCCAGTGAGGACCTGAGCAGCGCCTAGGGCTCTTTCCGCCTCACCTGGAAACCGTGACAGTGAAGCCCTAGCTGCCATCACCCTGGGCCTGGCTGTGGGCGCTTCCCTGTCCTGCCCAGGAGTCAGACACAGTATGCCCTGGGCTTTGCTCCCTGGCCCCAAGGGAGAATAGTTAAACTCAGCTTGGGTAGGACAGCAGCAGTGAAAAGGGGCTTGAGGTTGAGGAAATAGCTGCCCCAGAAGCCTGTCCCCATGACAGGTGAAAATGGCAAGGGTGTCTGCCTGGGAATGCTTGAATTACAGTCAAAGAGCCCAGTGTGAGAAAAAATGTACCCAGTAAACTCGTGACATACTGGCGTTCAGGTCCTGCTCCTCAGGGCAGCCTCTGTCATCAGCTCAGTGGAAGGGGCAGATAAGAGAGGAGCTCCTGATTGAGAAGGGTCTCCTCTGCTGACCCTGAGTGCCAGGCTACCGTCTCTGCCAACCCTGGGTGCAAGCTGTGGCAGGGAACAGAGGTGGTGAGAATTCTGCCCCTAAAGGCACGCCCACCTCCCCCCCATCACAGCTCTGCCTCTCAGCATTGGCCTTAGCAGGTAAATATCTAAGCCTCTTGTCCTTTTCTGGAGAATGGGTCTGAAGATAGTATGGCTCAGGGGTTGTTTGAGGATCAAGTGGGCCTGAGGTATAAGTCACCCAGCATCTTCTAGCCCTGGGGGTAAAGGGTGAGGCTCCTTCCCTGATTCTCTCCTCTCTCTCCAGGAAAAACCCTCAGGAAACCCCTCCCAGGTCAAAGCCTCACCAGCCCCAGCCAAGGAGCCTCCAGGGAAAAAAACAGCCCCTGGGAAGGTGAGTTTGACACCCCAAGTCTGAGTCCGGCGTGCAACTGACTGTAGTCAGCAAGGTCGAGAAGTCAGGGGAAGGCTTCGAGAGCAGCAGGGAGTGTGAAGAGGGGGTCCCTATGCAGATACCTAGCAAAATGGGGTCCAGGGAAGCCTAGCCCTCAAGATCCCCCCACTCCTCCGTGGCCTGAGACTTACCTGTGGACCCCCAATAGGGACAGTAGCTTTGTAGTGAGACTCTGCTGGGGTTGGGAGTTAAGGTGCAGGAGCTGAATGCACAAGTTGAAAGGTTGGAGCAGTTGGGCTAGTTTCAGACACCCTGGAAACGCCTTACGCAGGCAGAGCTGCAAATGGATGCTTTGTGAGGCTCTGCAGCCCACTGTCAGTAATTTCTCCCCTTATCGCCTCTTGCTAGTCAATCAGTCCACTGTCCTCCCAGTTAGCCCTGGGACTTGAGTTTTCATTGCTGGACCTCTACCTTCTCAGCCAAATCTCGACCTTGTTATGAACAAGGATCTGGCTAACTTCCATCTTCTGAGACCTCCCAGCTGTAGCATGCCCCAAGGGGAGGCAGGGAGCTGGGAAGTATGGGAGTCATACAGGAAAGAGGAAGGTCAAATGGGAGGGTGGAAGCCCCTCCCTGGCCCCAGCCCTGAGGCTTCCCTGGTGAGGCTCAGGAGGGGTGGTGCGCGTGTCCTCGCGCGCCCCCCCCCCCCACCGTCACCAGAGTAAGGGGAAGGTTTGCAGTAAGATTCCCAGGTTAGTGAATGTTAGAGGGAAATAGAGCAGGCATGTGGGAGATGGCTGTTAGGGCACTCTTGAGGTAGGTCATTCTGGGCAAAAGAGCATGACAAATGCCGAGGCCCTGAGGCAGGTGAGCGAGTGAGGGTCATTACTGATCAGCCCCTGTCCACAGGGCCACTCTCTGCCCCAATTGATCTTTCTGTGCCTAAGGTCACCTGGTATTGCCTGGTGTCCTTTTTAGGGGTTGAGTGTAATATTTATGTCATATCTGCTTTCTCTGTTGAATTAAAAATTTGGAAAAGGTGCAAGCCAATCTGATTGTCTGTAGGCCTCTCCCCTCTGTAGAAGGAAAGTCACCAGAACTGATTTTTGCATGGGGCTGAACAACTAGTTGTCACCTCCCCAGAGCAGACAGGGCTTGCAGCGACTCTGCCAAAGCCCTCAGGCCAGAATCAGTGGCTGAGATAAGCCAGGGACAGTCAGTACCTTAGTGAGGAGACCAAGCCCAGAGGACCTTGCTCATGAATCCAGGTCAAACTCCCCAGGAGTCCTGCTGTCCCACAGACCTTCCTCTGTTCCCTCCCCTCTTTGGGACTTCTTGGCCCTCCTGTCCCTGTGTAGGCACAGCCCAAGAGAGCTACTAAGAAAGTGCTGTCTTTCTGGGACTGGAGGGTACTGGGGTGAGGGGTGGCAGGCAGATGGAATAAGAGGGGCTGTGAGGGCCAGGAGACAATGTAAGCTGAGTCCCTAGCTGAACCCCATTCAAAGTGTGGGTAAAGAGAGAAGCTGCCCCGTCTTGTGAGACTAAAAGCATCACCAGAAAGTGAGTAACGAGAGCATTCTGCCCTTTCTCTTTTGCTAGGTGAAGGCATCGGAGAAAATTGTCCAAGTCAGAGCTGCCTTGGGACCTACGAAGGGAACCCCTGGGAAAGGGGCCACTCCAGCACCCCCTGGGAAGGTAGGACCTGCACCCACCCAGGCCAAGGCAGGGAAGCCAGAGGAAGACTCTGAGAGCAGCAGTGAAGAGGAGTCGGACAGTGAGGAAGAGATACCAGCTGCTCAGACCCCACTTCAGGTGAGGCCTGGGCAGGCCACGCAAGCCTGCGCCTGCCCCAGACGCCTGCCAAAAACTTGTTCTCCATTCCTGTGTGAGAGCCCCGCTCCCTTCTTGCTGTGTGTGGCATCTGCTGTCTGGTATCCTTTGAGTCCTCACATCCACTCTCGGGATACTCTCCACTCCATCCCGCATTCTGTTTCTCTCACTCCAGGCAATGCCCTCAGCAAAGACCCCCCAGGTTAAAGCAGCCTCTACCCCTGCCAAGGAGTCCCCTAGGAAAGGGGTGCCACTTGGCAAAACAGGACTTGTGGCTGCCCAGGCCATGAAGCAGGAAGAGGACTCAGACAGCAGTGTGGAAGAGTCGGACAGTGAGGGAGAGTCTCCGGTCGCTGTTCCCCCAACCACGAGCCCAGCTCAGGTGAGGCTGGCACACATGATACACGAACCACTGTGTGCCTTGCCCTCCACTTGCCCTCCTCACTTCCTGTCTTCACACACGCTCCCCGGTGGGCCCCCTCTGATCTGTTCTTTGTTACTCCCAGGCAAAGTCCTTGGGGAAGAAACCCCAAGCCAGAGTTGCCTCAACCACTGACATGGCGCCCTCAGGGAAAGGCCACATCCCGGTGCCCCCTGGGAAGGCAGGATCTGTGGCACCCTTGACCCAGACGGGAAAGCAGGAGGAAGACTCAGAGAGCAGCAGCGAGGAATCGGACAGCGAGGGGGAGGTGGTGGCAACTGCGGCCACAGCCCAGGTAAGGCCCCTGCCAGTAAGGCACTCTCCCCTTCACACCTGGGACCCCTCGCTCTCTGCACACAGCCCTGCTTTGGGCGCCCTCCCTGACCTCTTATGTCTCACTCAGGCAAACTCTTCAGGGAAAATCCTCCCTGTCAGATCTGCCTCGGGTCCTACCAAAGGGCCCTTTCAGAAGACAGTGCCTCTGGCCACACAGCTCGAGACAAAAAAGTCCAAAGAAGACTTGGAGAGCAGTGAGGAGGAGTCTTCAGACAGTGAGGAGGAAACCCCCACAGCTGTGACTCCAGCCCAGGTGAGGTCTTGAGAGGAGGGCTGTTCCCCATTCTGACCCTCCTGGGTCAGGATCTGGCCTAGTCAGCCCACAGGGCATTGTGGCCCTACCCTAGAGCAGGGGTCTTATCCTTCTCCAATTTCTGACTTCCATGTCCCCTCAGGCAAAACCAGCTATGAAAATGCCTCAGACCAAGGCCTCCCCAAAGAAGGGCACACCCATCACCCCGCCCTCTGCCAAGGTTGCCCCAATGCGAGTGGACACTCCAGCCCCCTGGAAAGCAGGGGCAGCTACTTCTTCATCCCCAGCTGTGACCAGGGGCACCCAGAGAGCAGAGGAGGACTCTTCGAGCAGTGAGGAGTCAGAGAGCGAGGAAGAAACAACTCCTGCTACAGCTGTGGGACAGGTGAGGCACAGTATGCTTGACTCAGGACTGGCCCTGTGGTTTTTTAGACTCCCATGACCCTCACACTTCTGGGTTGTTCCAGGTAAAGACTGCAGTGAGAGGACTCCCTGTGAAAGTTGCCTCAGTGCCCAGTAAGGGGCTTTTGGGGAAAGAGACAGCCCCAGTACCTCCTGGGATGGCAGGGCCTTCAGTGACTAAGGTCAAACCTGAGATACATGAAGACTCTACAAGTAGTGAGGAGGAATCGGACAGTGAGGAGGAGATTGAGACTTCAGCCCAGGTGAGGTTCACAGGTAGCCCACACACCGTAACACACCAGTTCCCAGCAGGTGTGGTAAACCCATGATGGTTTGCTCTTACCCCAGGATATGCAAAAGCACCTGGGGCTCCCTCCGCCCAGCTTCCTTCCAGACTTCCTACTCTGTCTCCTCTGTGCGTCAGCATACAGGGTCTCCTGGGTGGCCTTTTGAGCTCCCATTGAGAGTCTTTGTGCTCTTCTCCAGCTCTTTTTCACCATCTCTGGTTGCAGGGAAATGGGTCCTTTCTGAGTCTCTTGTGGCCCCGGCTTTTGGGGAGGCCCTCACTTAGTAGGCAGTGTGGATATATACATAGGTTATTCCAGATGGTGTGAATAGGGTTATATACGGTGCACAGCGAGGGATAGCATTTAGACAGCATTCAGGAGGGAAGGCCTCTTGGAGAAAGTAGCATTTGGTATGACTACAGGCAGCATTCTGGGCAGAGAAGCCCACCTAGAGACCTAGGTGCCCGGGTTGGGTAAATTGCCCCAAGCAGAGCATTTTGGTGAGATGAATAGGGGCAGCAGGATAGGGAGAGTGGCAGGGGGTTCAGGTCCCAGCACCATGTCCTAGCAAGAGATGTAATCTCTCAGGACCTTTTTATGCTTCTGTGAATTGGAAAATAACACTCAGCAGGGTTGAGACTGTAATCCTCTCACACCCAGCAAGGGGCCTGCTCACAGCAGGCTCTCAGCCCTCGGGGCACAGTGCTGAAGTAGAATAGAATCCAGTAATCTTTCAGCACAGAAGTGCTCACTCTTCTGCATTCACCTACAACCGTTAATTTGAATTGTCACTGTTTTGTCAGTAACCACTCAGAAGTTAGTTATTTCCCATGTACCAGAACACACATTTTTATGGATTTTGTTTGTTTGTTTTTATCCCCTTCTCTGATGACCGATGGGACTCATGGTCCTGTGATTCCTTTTTGAACTTTGTTTGGGTCTTTCCTGACTCAAGACCAGTAAGCCCATATCCTTTTTCCAGGATTTTTTATCCCCTTCTCTGATGACCAATGGGACTCATCATCCTATGATTCCTTTTTGAACTTTGTTTGGGTCTTTTCCTGACTCAAGACCAGTAAGCCCCATATCCTTTTTCCAGAATGCACACATTTCACACCTGTGCCTTGCAGTGCTTCGTTGTACCAAGCACCTAAATATCTGCCTTCCCCTCTGGTGCCCCACCTATGCCATGAGCTGGGTTTTCATTTGCTTTGGTTTCCATCACCTTTTCCTAATAAGCCAGTCCTTTCAAAATGTTCAAAAAAAAAGAGTCACTGATACCTCTCTAGGGATCTATCTCATAACCTATTGCCACAGAAGACTGCTTTCCTAGTTTCAAGAGGTCTAAAGCACCTTTGCTGAGATAGGCAGGGCTCATAGGAGTCTGGCTCCATCCCTCCTTTTCCTTGCCTTCATGGAAGGATGAGGATAATAACTGTGCCTCTGTTTTGGGGTTTTTATTAAGATTAAATGAGAAAACTTGAGTGGGCTTACCGTCAAAAGTATGCACAGCTGGGTCCCCTATTGCTCAGCATTGCCAGGCTCTGATAGGAGTCAGAGAGTCTGATCTCCAAGACCCAGCTAACTCAAAGCAGTATTTTGGGAGATGAAGTTTGAAACAAATTTTAAAAGTAGTAAAGACAGAGTTCATTCTAGAAAACCAAAGTGCCGGAGACTCAAGAAGAAAAATATTCAGAATTGGAATGCCCTAGGAAGGCAGCCCTTGTGTGAGAAGATTAGAAAGATGTTCTGTCTATAAGTGGCCATGGAAACCCTAGGGTACCTTCTGAGCCTGACCTGTTGTATGTTGATCTTACATCCTGTGACTTAGTTACACTTGTCAATTTTAGTGGCATTACTTTTTTTTTTTATCGGAATAACTTTTTTCTTGCCTTATTGCAATGGCTAAAATCTCCAGTACAATGTTGAATAGTAATGGTGAGAGCACAGCACCATGAAACTATCCACAGCCAGTGCTTCAAAAGTTCAGTATCCAGGCAGGGAAGCAACCCACATGACACAGCAGACCTCTCCGGTCTCCTTGGCTGCTCCCCTCAGCAGTGTATTACAGTCGATCTGCCTGTTCTGTTCTCTACTCTGTCTCTGATAAATCCTCTCACCTTGCCCCCATACCTCTAGCCTATACACCAGTTCTTGTATGCATAACTAAATTTTTTTAAAAATCTTTTAAAAAAGTCTATATTAGATTCTGCAGGCATTTTGGGGATTCCCTGGGTATCTGCTGAGATTAGACTGAGCAGAAGGAAACCTCAGACAACAGTGGTTTTCTGCCACCTTTGGTACCTGATCATAGGCTAATATGACTGCTTGAGCTCCAGCTCTCATCTCTGCCTTCCAGTCAGCAGGCAAGAAGATAGTCCTCCATGTACAAGAAAGTCAGATGTAAACTCAACTTACCTTCCACTACCTAGACCTGAATCATATGACCATTTAGCCAGAAGAGAAGCTGGAGGCCCCCGTACTCTTGTTAATCCTACCCGCAGGAAGTGCTCCTAGCAGTGAATTCATCTGAGTGATTATCATGTGCCAGCCTGCCATTATGTTAAAATAAAACATGACTCTCCCATTTAATCATCACAGAATATGCCTTATTGTCATTACCTCCATTTTACAGAGCAGGGACTTGAGGCATAGAGGTGTCAAATTATTTGCCTAGGTTTGCATAGTAAATGGAGGAGCCAGAATCCAAACTTCGGCATCTGACACCAGAACCAGTGTTCTTAACTGTTCCACCTACTTCCCCTTCCTTTTCTCCCTCTAGATGAAGGCCTCCATGAAAACCCTTCAGACCAAAGCCAGCCTAGCTTCCACCAAAGCAGCTTCAGCTAAAGAGGCCGTGGCAGCTGCCAGAAAAGTGGTCACTGCAGCCACTCAAGCCAAATGGGGGTCTCCAGCCAAGGTAAGTGGGATAGAAGGCACGGGAGGTGCTAGGAGTGGGGGAGAGAAAAGAGAGGCAGCGACCCCAACAGGCAGGCAGACCTCTCCACCATCACATCACAGGTGAGAGCTCAGCCCAAAAGGAAGTATGCTGTCCACTTCTGACCCCAACTCCTAACCTCCTAGCCATTCAGGTAAAGCCACCAGCCAGAACCCCCTGCCCCCCGAACAATGCCCTCTCATGCCAAGCTTCCATGCCAGCTGTGGGGAAGGCAGCAGCCCAGGCCAAGCTAGGTCAGTCATGGGTTCGTAGGAGGGCTCAAGAGAGCAGAGAAGGGCAGTGCCTGCTCTGAGGAGGGTGGAGCAGCCCAGTGTGTCCCCTGTGCACCAGGAGCTGCCCAGCATTGTTCTGCATGTGCCCAGACATCTCTGGCATCCTCTGGATTCCTTTTCCTGATTCTGTTTTTCTCAATCCAGGCAAAGCCCTCAGGAAGCACCCCTCAGGTCAGAATTGCCTCAGCCCCTGTCAAAGGGTCCCCCAGAAAAGGGGCTGGCCCAGCGCCCACTCAGAAGACAGGACCTGCAGCTGCCCAGACTGGGAAGCAGGAGGACGACTCAGAGAGCAGCAGTGAGGAGTCTTCTGATAGCGAAGCGGACACTCCCGCTTCTATACCCCTAACCCAGGTGAGAACTAGTGAGGAAATAGCTACAGACCCAGGCTCCCTGCCACTGCCACCTACTTCTCAGTCAGAGTATGGCTTTAGGGCCAGGTGAGAAAGGCCAGATTAAGGACTGAGTCAGGAACCCTTCCCCCAGCTTCTATCTCATGACTCCTTAGGTTTTACCAAAGAGCACTCTCAGAAGCCCCTAAAACAAAGCCTTCCTGAGGAGATCATATGGCACTAACCCCAGGTTTTCCCAGGACAAGTGGAAACATATGGGTCAGCAATTCCCACCAGGCCAGATGAGGCCAAGAATGCAAAGATACTGTGGACACAGTTTCTTGAAGATCTGTGGGTTGTGGTGCAGGTGCCGTGAGGTCCTGCAGTACTGCCGGGAGTCAGCCCCTCACCCAGGCCTGGGCTCCTCACAGCATGGCCCTCCAGGGCGAGCTTGGCTTGGGGAGTGGGGAAAGAAAAGGCATGAGGAGCCCACTTAGCTGGATGATTTGCTCCCTGCTTGCCAAGGACAAAAGAGGTGGCTTCATGCTTCAGGAGCTCAGGGTTCAGATTTGCAGGCCCAGACTTGTAGTGGAAATGATACACACGCCAGCGGGTAAGCACACTGACACTGAGTCTTATATCAGGAGAGCAAACTGGAGCACCCCGCCCCATCTAGGGAGCCCCTGTCAGTTCTAGCCAGTGTGACCTGGTGACACATTAACTCGGGTGGCTGGATCTTCTGTGTTCTGAGGCAGCTAGAAGGCTGTACCAGGCTGAGCTCTAACCTGCTTCCGTTTCTTTTTTCCTCATGTGTAAAACACACCAAAGTGTCTATTCAGTACCCCCCGTGCTAACCTCCACCTTTGTTGAGAGATGAAAAGTTAAAGATGATGGCTCTCCCTCACAGAGCTTTAGTATGTGGGGTGAGGTGAGGTGACTGGATCGTGGGGACATTTTCTGGTCATACTCTGTTGATGGAGCTGGGATAGCAGGGCCCTCTGACTTCCAGAGCATGAGCTGGGCTTGAGGATGACCTGCACCTTAGCAGTCACTTCTAATCGTTTGTTTCGGGGCCTCAGCCATGTCTGGGACTGTACAACTCTTTTCCTTGTGTAAGGTTTGTATGGGTAGCTTGCATCGGTCACCATGTTCTCATCTACAGGAGAAATCCCAGAGTTTAGACTGTAAGGGGCCGGGTTATCTCAGTACATGAAGTCTCAGGGGAAGGGTACAGCAAGGGGTTTCCTTCAGCTCATCATCAGGGATCCCACTTCTTCCATCTATCCCACCTGTCTCAGTGTCACGGCAGGACTGCAGCAGCTCCTAAAGAGCTAAAAAAAAATCCCCACAGCCAGTTCCCCTGCCTGGTCTCCTAGTCCAGGCCTATGGCTCCCTTCCACTTGCCCCCAGAGCCACTCAGTCATGAGGACACACAGTTCCCAAGACGGTGGGAGGGCGGGGCCAAATCAGATCTTAGTAGCAAGAAAAACAATAACGTACATCTTAGCTGACCCATTTAAAAATTGGGAAAGAAGGATCCTACCTTCTTTGGAGAAGTTGGATTCTTAGGCCACCTGGGTCCCTTTCTTTGGCCTGGACTGAGCAGTGACAGGTGGGACCCTCAAGCCAATGAGACACAGGGTGCTCCCCTACCCCAGCCTTGTCCTCCCCTGAGCCGCTCCTCACTGCTCTCCTCTGACCCCCCGACCAGTTCCCACCTGGCCAGCCTCCCTACATGTTTATGCCCAGCCTGGCAGGAGTGGGTGGCAGCTCCTGCTTGCAGCTGGGAATCTCCCTGCCGGGTGTACCGGGCCATTGCCCCCTCCATCAGAAGCCTGGCCAGCAGCACTCCCGCTGAGGGTTTAGTAGTATCCAACTCTTGCATCTCTTTCAAGTTCAAAGTCAGCTCTGGAGAGTAAATAGTGGAGACCTGTCCTGCCGGGGTGTGGCGGGAAGCAGCTCTCCTGGGGGTGTACAGGTGGCCTCCCCTAGAAAGCCAGTATGTGTGGGGTCACTGCCACCAGCCATGACTCCCCAGCCCCGCCCTTCCACGTGCTTGTTCCCTCAGAAGAACAACTCCAATACTTTGAGAAGCAAGCCCCTGGCTTCTGCACCTCCACAGGGGAACAACACAGAGGGATCCTCAGAGAGTAGTGATGAGGAGCTGCCAGCGAGCCAGGTGGGTGTTCCTTTCTCTCGAGGATGCTGTAGATGCACAGCAGGGTGCAGGGGCAGAGGTTCCTGTGCGAAGAATGCTCCCCAGTTTGCAAAGCGCTTTCTGCATATTTGGACACATCCATCCTCACCCAGCTCTTCCTGTGAGGTGGGTGGCGGAGCTGGGCAGCATAGAGTCAGGGCTGGGCTCACTCATGGCTCTGCAACCCAGGCCTTGCCCACGCTGAGGCCTGGGCGTGTCTGTGCAGCAGGCAGGGTGTGCTCCCACTGCCCTGCGGCCTGGCCAGAGTGCTGCCATTGCGGGAGGGCAAGCCGCCCTGCCCCTTCCGTGCCGGGGACCAAGCCCAGTGGTTTGACATGATTTCCCCAAATTCTCATGACCTGACAGAAGCAGAAGGGGTAGATGCCACTGGGTGGCATCTCTGTCTACTATGTCCCTCCTTCCAGTGGGTGCCAGGAGCTTTTGCAGGGCTGGTCAGAATCCCCTGGGCCTGACCCCAGGCCCTTGCTCCAGCACCCTGGCATATCATGCTCAGGTGCCCTGGTTGTCCCCCCAGGCTGCTCCCGGAAGATCAGGGCCTATCCCACTATCTAGTTCCAGAGGCCCAAGTTCCTCAGGTTGGTATCCTGGCTTGTGGACCCCAGCGTTTACGGATATGGCACTGCCCTGAGTCCTCTAGTACCAAGCTCCTGGAAGTTTTTTTTTTTTTTTTTTTAATGTATTTATGCACACAAGAGTTGGGGTGTAAGCCAGAAGTTTGTGGGGGGAGGGGAAAAGAGAGGGGAGCACAACAGGCAGATTGACTAAAATCCACTGCTGAGGGGAGCGAGGGGCGAGACAGGAGAGGTCTGCTGGCCATGTGGGTCAGCTCCCTGGCAGGGATCGAACTCAGGCTGCAGTGACTGGGATAGCTTCATACTGCTGAGATTTTAATCCATTGCACCACCAGGGAGGCCCTCGCATTCAGGTCCTTGTCACACTGGTGCTGTGGCTGGAAGAACAGAGTGGCGTCACGGCCATCTCCCTGCCTCCTGCTGCCCTCAGTGCTGATCTGCTCTCAGTGGCTCAGGCGCTGTGCGCACACCAGATGGGGTGCACCTGCCGGTCCCGTCTCAATAGCACAAATGAGGAAAAGCGGGGAACACCTCTGTCTGATATTAGGGCTCACTTTTTGTTGGGGGGGGCCTGTGCATTTAGTTTAATCCCAGTAACACCCCCCTTGAGGGCAGCTCTTGTGCCCATTTGCAGGAGGGGGTGAGGCCCTGGCCCCACCACTGCCAGCACTGGCTGGCATGGTACCTGTGCCAGGCTGACTGCTCCCGCCTGGCTCTCCTCGACCCCTCTGGCAGGAGTACCAGGCGGTGCCGGGGCTCTCTGGGGCCTTTGGGAGGCTGCCATCTCCACAGTGTAGGAGCTAAACAGCTGGGAGGGAGGGCGTGCCCCCCCCTTCTCTGCGGGGGTGGACTAACACAATTAAAACGAACATCATGCTTAAACTGAACCATTTAATTGGTACGTTAGTCCCCAAGATTCTGGAGTCCCTATTAAAAAAGAAGGAGGGGACAAAAGTCAGCAGTTTGTGCTTTCCCCAGGAGGATTCGGGGAAGACACAGGGAAACTGCAGCCTCCTTCTCACGGGGGGTTTAGCTTCTAATCCCCAGCCCACTAATTATGATTATTATCGTTATTAGCATTTACCAGGCTCTTCTCTATTGACAAGTCCCTATGTTTTTATTGTTAGCCCCTCAGTGGAGAAAAGGATGGATGCCAGGGTGATGGGCAGGGCTGGGAGGCAGAGAGGAGACCAGCTTTGTTCCCAGGCCCCTTACTGCGCCTCAGTCTCCCCGCCTGAGAGATACTTCAGAGCAGTGGTTTGTGGCTTAGCCCTGGTGCTGGGCCCTGGCTAGGAACCAAATTAAAAAGATGTGGGTCCTTCCTCCCGGAGAGAAAAGGAGACCTGTAAGAAGCCAAATGGGGCAGTAAATCAGAGGCCTAGCATGCTTGGCCATGGAAGGCGCTCCAAAAGGTTCTCCTGGCTAGTGCCCGCCTGACTGCTAGTGCCTTCTAGTCCTGGCTGTGGCCCCAGTTTGCTGGGCATCCTGGGGTGGCCCTGACCCAGGGTCCATTCACCAGCCATGGGCAGTCCTTTGGGCCACCCTCTGATCTCCCACCTTGACTGGTGGCTGTTCCCTCCCTACCAGCCAGCTCCCGCCCTGCCACCCAGACTAGAGCGAGGCAGTTTGCATGGGCTCAGCCATGAAAGGGGACCCTAAATTTTGTGCTGCCAGTCAGGCCTGTGGGAGGAATGTGTCCCATAGTTCTGCAGGGCCTCGCTGCCCAGTGCTTCCTGGGAGCCCAGGCAAGGTTCAGTTGTAATCGTTACGCCACGTCAGGTGGCGTCTTCTGAGGGGTCTTCTCTGACCCACCCCAGGAGGCCCTTGTCACGCTCATGTACTCTGCCATGTGTACTTGTGCAGTGGTATCAGCCACTGCGGTGAGGGAGCCCAGGCGGGGATAGTTTAGAGGCCCATTCAGCAGGCAGGCAAGGTCTCACCAAGCTCAGGCACGCGGCCACAGCGGCAGGTGGCATCAGACGCAGGTGACCTCACACCCCTAGATGGCGCGGCCCACCTTTGCACACTTCATATGCAGGCTCCAGCCAGGTTCTTGTGCGCTGCCCTCCACCGCCAGGCTCCTGCACCCCCATAGCCCAGAGGCCGGTGGGGCAGCGTGGGCTGGTGGGATGAGGAGGCGGCGCCTGTTGCTGCTGAGCTGCTTTTAACATCCCAGACGCTATTGTTTGCCACGGTGGGTTCTTTGCTTCTCTCTGTCCCCGACAATCTGTTCCTCTGTCTTCTCACATATATATAGATCCCCCCTCCCTCAACTGTAAGCCTTCTCCCACTTTGCATCCTTCTCCGTTTCATCACGTGGGTAGGAAAGCTCTGGAAGTGGCAGATAGAGCGGCCGCGGGGGAGGCTGTTTGGCAGGGGTAGGAGGGCAGAGCTTCAGCCTCAGGGGCCCGATTCTCATGCTTTCCCCTGTGCTCTCCGCAGTACCTGGGGGCCAGGCTGGAATGGGGCTCAGGAGGTAGGCGGTGTGCTGTGGTAGTGGAGAGCACAGCAGTGGTCCCCAGAGAGTGACCTCAGCCAGCTCCCCACTAGGCCCTGTGCCTTCTATGGCCAGAAAGGGAGCAGAACTTGGCCAGGATCTGGCCCTGGGAACAGGAACCAGACTCAGTATTACCAGCTTGGGGCCACCCTTCGGTGCCTCGGCCTGTTCTGGTAGGGGGCTGCATTCCCAGCGTGACCTAGTCCGGGAAGTACTAGGGAGTGCTGCTCCTGCTCTCATCGTTCTCATAATGTCTTGTCGAGGGTCTCCCACGTTGAATCCCATAAAGAACCCCAACTCGGCAGTAGCAGACCCGTGACCCTTGCATCCAAGCCCTCCACCAAGTTCCCCGATGACCCTGGATACTTAGAAGCCTGTCTCACCTGTGTTAGCTCCACCAGATCTGGCTTTGCAACTCTAAATGATAAGGATTTTTTTGAAAGCACAACCCGTAACATATAGTACACCTAAAGCAGGAACCTTCCTAGTCAGAATGCCGATTCTGCGATTATCTCGTTAATGTTATTTTTGTATTTGGTGTGGTCATCACATAAGAACCACAAAACCACACACTGCCCCGGTAATTAGTACCTTGCATCTTTGCCTGGTGACTCTTCCCACCCCCCCCCCCCCACCCCACCCCCCAACCCATAACGCTTCGTTACACTGGTTGATGGATCGGTTGTCTGTGTCCTGGGTTCCATCAGAAGGTGGCACCAAAGTCTGGGTGTAGGGCACCTGGATTGTGGCCCCCCAGGCAACCTCTCTAGTGCCACCCTTGGCAGTTCCTGTCTCTGAAATTGGCCAGAGCCAAGAGGCTGAATACCCTCCATCAGGCTATGTGACCTCAGGCCACAATCTTCCCCTCTCTGGATGTGTGGGCTTTCCCCTCTGTTAATGGGGCTCATATTGTGGCCTTCAGAGGTTTTGAGGAGGGTCAGAGGGGCTCCTGTGAGGTCTGTGCAGGATCTTAGAGGCACATGGGCTGGGGGTGAGCTGGGGGTGCCCCAGCAGCCGGAATGGCCTCTGGCTATTTGACTGCCCTAAACTCCCTGGACCCCCTACCTTATAAAGCCCTCCCCTAGCCTGTCTCCTCCTCCCCTGGCCAAACCTTTAATCACTGGGGGGGTGTGTTTTGTTTTTGTTTTTCAAGGTGATTAAACCCCCTCTGATTTTTGTCGACCCTAATCGTAGTCCAGCTGGCCCGGCGGCTACCCCTACGCAAGCCCAGGCTGCGAGCACCCCGAGGAAGGCCCGGGCCTCGGAGAGCACAGCCAGGAGCTCCTCAGAGAGCGAGGATGAGGATGTGATCCCCGCCACGCAGCTCTCCACTCCCGGTGAGCGTGGGCCCGGAGGCAGGGCCGACTCCCCCTCGGCAGCTGCCAGATTGCCAGGCTTGGCTTGAAGGGACTGCCAGCACCCCACCCCTCTTCATGGAGTTCCAAATGTGAGAAGGTGCTGGCCAAGTCACACAGCAAGCTGTGGTCAGGGCTCGGAGCCATGACACTGGCTCAGTTCTTGTACCAGGGGGACATTCGCCATGGTGTCCTTTGCTGCATGAGATTTTAGCCTAAGGAAGAGCTTTATAATAGCTGCCCAGGCTTGGAGAGGGGTGAGGTGTTTGTTGGGCTCCTGTTTCTGCAGGCATAGAAAGGGATTTAGCTGCTTCCTAAACAGATAATACCGGGAAGAGTCAGGAGACTTGGAGTAGATCTAGAATTTTTGATTTATGAGAACCTGTGATTCTACCAGTAACAACAGAAACAAAAGGGGGGTTAATAATACCACTATCATGACTGTTAGACTTTTCGTTAGGATATTAATAATGCTGATCTTGGTAGGCCAATTAAAAAATTTAGATTAACATAAAAGGAAAAATACCACCTGTAACCTCATTGCCGTAATACAATGTTCCGGAAGACTAAGCTACTACATGTGTGTTATCGACAAGACCGTGCCATCCGTATGCTTGGTGATCTTCCATCTGTGTGCTTATGGCGTGGTTGCTGCTGACCACCAGGAGTCCTTTGGGTGGGCACCCCTTGGCCTCCTTAGGCCAGTGCCATGTTGGAGGAAGCTGGGGTTTTCTTGGAGGAGGGGCTTGGCAATTATGCCCGTTGCATTTAATGTGGTGTAACAGCCTCTGCAGATGAGCCTGGGATCCTCACAAGAGTCTGGTAAATGGGGGGCAGGGGGACCTCTTGTGGCCATTACTCAGGCCATTTCTGTCTGGCCAGCTTGGCAAAGGGATATCATGGAGGCCTTTGGGCCAGGGGACCAAGGTGAAAGTCTGGACCCGCAGCCACCCTGTGGTCTCTAACGTGGAAGCAGTGACAGCTCCTGCCTGGGTGGCTCGAGAGGACACTCAAACAGCTGTAGAGACCCTGACATGTCCCCCTCTAACTCCATTTTAGCTGGTAGAACCAATATGGTGACGGTGCCCACAGCCCACGCAAGGAGCGTACTCAGAGCTGGAGCTGGCGGGGCCAGCAGCAGCAAGGCACCTGGTCGAGCCTTGGAAGGCAAGAAGCAGGAGACACCCACTACTCAGGTACCCGGTAGAGCCAGCTGTGGGTGGGAAGCCATTGCCCTCCTCCGGAACTGTTCATGGCCTATGGGCACAGCTCTGGTGCTGGGCTCCCAGCTTACCTTTGTGTTGACAGGAAGTCACCTGGGAACCTGACTTCTCCAAATTCATGGTCAGCTCTTCCAACTGTATTGGGTTCTTGTTTTTGTCGTTTTCTTTAGAGTTTTTGTTCGCTCCCGATTTTGAAATGCCACACACCCAAATTGCCCCCTTGTGGCATTCACAGTAGTGACCATAACCTATTTGGTCTTTGGCTAAATCTAAAAGCTGGTCAGATAGTCATTGTTCAGAAGATGAAATAGGAGCATATCTAGGCTTAAGAAGAGCTCTGTTAAGCTCAATGAGAAGACCCAGACTTGTCCAGGGGGAGGTAGGGCCAGAACCCAGGTCCCCTCACCCCTCACTAGGGCTCCTTGGACCATAGCAGTTTGAGGCCTGCCTGAAGGGGGTTAGGACCACCAGCGCAATGGGGCTGGTCACAGGTGACAGTAAGAGCTTGCTGGGAACACAGTGCCGAGGGCAGCTAGACTGGTTTCCATGGCCATTCAGCCAGCAGACAGCACCAAGTCTCTGTGCCAGGCGCAGAAGGTACAGACAGGGAGGACCCTGCCCTTGTGGCATTCCCGAGCGAGGGGGAGGCAGCCATCACACAAGGAAGCCAAATACTACATAAAGTACTAGAAAGGAGGCTGGAAGCCGTTCCAGCTTGGGCATCGGGACTTCCCATGCCACACGCTTCAGACTGGGGGCGCAAGCCCAGGCGGTCACCTGTGCTTCTGGCCAGAGGGCCGTCTGCCAAGATCCCCACGACCTCCTCGTTGGGTTTAATTAGTTTGGTAGAGCAGCCGTCAGAATGCAGAGAAACATTTTACTTACTGGATTTCAAGCTTATTATAAAAGGGTGTGCTAGAGGAGACAGGTGAATGGCCAGATGGGAGGCTTGCGTTGGGCAAGGCCGGGGCAGGGCTTTCGTGTCCCGCAGAAGCCCCTCTCCTAGTACCTCCTGTTTACCAACCCAGAAGCACTAGAAAAGCCCCTCATTTGGGGTTTTCACTGAGGCTTTGTAGACATGACTGATGACTTCACTGGTCACTGGCAGTTGAGTCCACCGTCAGCCCCCCCTTCCCCTCCACAGATGCTGGGCAGAACAGTTCCAACCCTCCAGTCCCATGACTGGGTCCTCTGGCAACTAGTTCCTGTCCTAAGGCGCTTCCCAAAGGCACCTCACTCACATAGCAAGAGGTTCCTTATCACTCACAACACAGAAATTCCAAGTTAGGATCACTGTACCAGAAACAGGACAAAGACCAAATATATATTTCTTACATAAATCACAGCATCGCAAGTACTCACCAAGTGGTGGGTGCTTTGAAAGAAACCATGTAAACGAGAATAATAAGTGACCTGCTTTAGAAAGGACTAGCAGAGCTAGCAGCTTTGAAGCAGAAGCAGCAGGGGGCTGGAGCAGGGACCCTCCACGAAAGTACTTGGGGGTGAGGGAGCTGGGAGAAGCGGCCAGGGGCCAGGGGCCAGGGTGAGGGGCCGGAAGGCTGGTGGAGTGCAGAGAGGTGGTGCTCATGGGATCTAAGCCCAGTTCCTTGAGCTCTCTTCCCAGCTGCTGGTGGTGTGGGAGGCAGGAGCGGTACCAGGGAGACTTGAAGTTGCAACTCCCAACTAGAGACAGGTCCCCAGAGTCAACACAAACTGAGGTTTGGGGCTTTTTCGCTGAGCCTGGGAGCTGTGTTGGGCCCTCCGGGAACCCTATGATCACTCATAAACCCAAAACCTGGCATTTACTACCCAGATGGTGGCTCTGGCCTTTTAGTCACTCCCTCTCCAGCCCCTAGGAAGATACAGGCCCCTTTCTTCTCCAGCCAGACAGGCTGTAACCAGGGCATGGCGCTGGGGTGTCCGAGAACCCAGCATCTCAGGGCTGCCTTTAACTGTCTGCAGGTGACAAAGAGGAACCCAGCCAACCTCCCGCTGACCCAGGCTGCCCTGAAGGTCCTTGCCCAGAAAGCCAGTGAGACCCAGCTGTCAGCTTCCAGGACCCCATCTTCAAGTGGGGTGAGCAGGGAGCCAAAGGAACCAGGCCTCATCCCGGAGGGAACTATGGTCAGAGAGCACCTAGAGGGTAGGGAGGGGGCCTGGTGGGCCAAGCCAGGTGCCACACTTCCTGCCATGGCCTCGGCACAGGACTTAGCACCCCAGCCTTGGCAGCCAGCTGCAAGTCATGGAAGGTTGAACAGGTCACATGTGTCATGTGCCTGACAGTGCCTGTGTACTCGGGTGTTCAGTAAGCAGACCTTATCTGTGATCATTTTTCCTTCTACTCTTTCTGTTTTGCCCAACTAGATGGATGGTGCTGTGGGCACGCACCCTGTGACCAGTCCCCAGAGTACCCCTGTGCAGTCCCAAGGCACTAACAAGCTCAAGAAGCCTGAGGTTCCTGCAGCCCAGAAGGCCACAGCTGCTCCGTCAGGGCACCCCAAAGCCAAGGCCTCTGAAACCTCAGAGGACAGTGAGGACAGCAGCTCTTCAGAGAGTGAGGCGAATGCTGGGGAGCCCCAGGCACCCCCTTTGACCCAGAGACTAGGTAAGTGTCCCAGAGGAAAAGGCCGGGTGGGCATGGTGGTGGGGAGAGATGGCCCAGTGGCACTGCCTCCTTCTGTGTCTCTGCTTGTTCTGCAGCTTAGCCTCAGTTTCCCCACTATTAGGACCCCATAAGAAAGTCTGTCCAGGTGACATCAGAAACCTTCTAATTCTGATGTATGTCTACTCCCTGCTTCTTGGTATCAGGCTCCAATAACTATCCCCCCAAGTCCCAGAACTGTGCCCCCCCTCACTGCATGGGGATATGTGTTCATGGGAGCTCGGGAATTGGAGCAGGTTTAGGTGTCTGTGAGTCTCGCCTGCAATGCTGTGAATTGTGCTGAGGGAAGATCAGGAAGCCGGTGAAGCCCCGGGTGGGGAGCAAGGTAAGGCGTGTATAGCGGGACTGCCCCAGCAGGAGCCTGTGCTTCTCCATAGGCCCAACCCCCTCCGGGAAGGAGACCTTGGTGGAGGAGACCTCAACAGAGTCCAGTGACGACGAGGTGGCGGAACCTTCCCAGGTGACTGCGGGGTTGCTGCTGCTGGCCTCGGGCTTGGCCTGAGCCAGGCTCCCACCCGCCCTCCGCAGCCAAGGTTACCCTCTGTGTATGGCGTGTGCTTATACCTTACTGTTTGTTTGGAGTAAGAATGCCCTCTGCAAGTGGGCCTATCTAAAGTATACATGAGTCACACATCACAAGAGGTGGACACCCGGGGCTGGTTGCCCGCTTTGGGCCTCTGTGCACCCCTGTTCCACGCTGAAGTTCTGGCCCCCTCTTGGGTCCCTGGAACAGTGCTCAGGGGCTGGGTAAGACCCAGCTCTTCACATGGCTTCTTCAGTCTCTCCTCTCAGGTCATGTGACCCCTGGACAGACTCCAGCCACTTCCCAGGCTTCAAAGTCCACTTCCAGGCCCAATGCCAACCCCTCGGTTTCCTCTACTCCAACTGCTAGAGATGGCCCTGATGGCAAGTGGGGAGTGGAGCCCCAACAAGCAGCAAACACTGTGTCCCCTAAAACAGGTAAGTCAGGGTCCATAGCAAGGGCATACCTGGAGAGGACACAGACGGACAGGACAGTGGTCCAGAAATACCAGGCTTCTTTTCCTCCCACAGGAATAGTCCTGTCAGTCTCTCCTGTCTGCCACCAAGGCCTCTCCAGAGCTGGCTGAGGACCCCTCACCAGGTGGCTCTGTCTGGCTTTTGGTCGGGTGACCGCTTTCCAGGAGGAAATACATCTTGGTTTGTGGAATAGGCTAGCTTCCCCCGCGGCTTTTCTTCCCACGTGTAGTCAGCACACAGTTACGAAAGTTGCTCAGATGTGGGGAATATTCTAAGCAAAACCTGCACATACAGGGTCACTTTGGCAGGTGGCAGACCTGCTTAGTCAGCTGCGACTTGCAAGCACTCCACACCCAGTGCACCCCTAGCCACCGGGACCCCTGCAGGCAAGGCAGGGCCAGGCCACTGCATTGAGCTGGGCATCCATTGATTGGGTGCCTGGCCTTCACTTGGATGGCGAAGCTGGGTACCGTGAGGGGACCTCACTGCTCTTAACACCTCATTTTATCAACAGACGTGAAAGAGCTAAGTCACAGAGCACTTTGGTGGTGGTCAGGCCTGCCCCCAGGCCGTCTGCCTCCTGGTTAAACAATGCCACTTTCTTCCTATCTGACCTTTTATTTCGTCGCTAGATTTCCAGCCCTTTCATTAACAGACTGGAGTCATTTTCCTCACCACTCAAACTTGAGTTTTAAGTGAGGGGCCAGATCTCTGTGGTGGAAGTGTGTGAGCAAAGAGGTGGGGGTTTGGGATAAGGACGCAAAGTGACTGCTGTACCTCACTTTCCTTTCTGTTCCTTGTCAATTCTGTCCTTGGATCCCCTGGGCTCTTAGATAGTGAGAGGTTTGTTCCCCTACTTTCCCAGATGTGTGACCACAAATCTTCTCCATAGGCAAGAGAGAGGTTAACACTACCCCTCAGAGGCCCCGGAAGTCGAAGAAGGGAGCAGGCAACCTCCAAGCCTCCACATTGACCCTGCAGAGCGATATCACCCAGCGCCTCCTGAGCGAGCCCTGGCCCCTGAATGAGGCCCAGGTGCAGGCCTCGGTGGTGAAGTTCCTGACAGAGCTGCTAGAGCAGGAAAAGAAGAAAGCCGAGGATACCACCAAAGAGAGTGGCAAGAAGGGCCGGGCAGGCCGCAAACGGAAACTTTCAGGAGACCAGATGGCGACCAAAGCCCCTGGGAGCAAGAAGAAAAAGCAGCTGGTGTCTAGAGAAGGTGGGGAGGGTCCTGCTCTCCCAGAAAAGACCCCAAGGACTCCGAAAGAGAAACCCAAGAAAGACAGAGCAAGTGGTGACATCAAGGAAAAGAAGGGAAAGGAGTCTCTTGGCTCCCAAGGGGCCAAAGAGAAGCCACAAGTGGAACTCGGAGTGGTGAAGGCGGAGGGTAGAGACGCAGGTGACTCAAAGAGCAAGAAGGAGAAGGAGAAGAAGAAATCTGACAAGAGTAAGTAGCCCGCTTCAGCCCAGAGCGTGAGTCCCAGGCCATGCTGGGGATTGTGGCCCATGGGGTGGGGTGACTCTCAGCCAGCAGAAGGGAGGGGAGGAGGGACAGTTTGTGCAGGGTCATGGAAGGGCAGGTGGCATACAGCCAGGACTGTGTCCTGGACCATGGCCAGACTTGCTAGGTGTCTTGAGCCCAGCCCCTCGCCACAGGTCCAGTCAGTAGTAGAAGCTGCCCTTCACAAGTTCTGTGCAGGGGGCTTGTCTAGCTCTCGCCCATACCCATACAGTGGGTGATACTTCTTTAAAAAAGAAGTCTCTTTTAAATAATACATGTAGAGGGGCCATCCCTGGTGGTGCAGCGGGTTAACACACAGCACTGAGAAGCTAAAGCCACTGCAGCATGAGTTCAATCCCCACCAGCCCCAGAGGTGACCATATGGCCCGGCAGACCTCCTCTGACCCGCCCACCGCTTCCCTCAGTAGTGTACTTCGTCAGTCGGCCTATTCTGCTCCCCACTCTGTCTCTGGTGAATCCTCTCACTGCCCCTGCACCTCTGGCCTGTACCCCAGCTCTGTGTGTATACATAAATCAATCTTTTTAAAATAATAATAATCATAATAACACATGTAGAAGTGGTGGTTTTTTGTTTTGTTTTTATTTATGCATACAGAACTGGGGTATAGGCCAGAGGTGCAGGGGCAGTGAAAGGATTCACCAGAGACAGAGTGAGGCGCAGTTGAACAGGCAGACGGACGAAGTACACTGCTGAGGGAGGAGCAGGTGGTCAGGAGAGGTCTGCCAGAGCGCCATGTGGTCACCTCTGGGGCAGGGATCAAACTCATGCTGAAGTGGCTTTAGCTTCTCAGTGCTATGCTTTAACCCGCTGTGCCACCAGGGAGGGCCTACATGTTTTTGTTTTGTTTTGTTTTGTTTTTAAAGATTTATTGATTTATTCAAACAGAACTGGGGTACAGGCCAGAGATGCGGAGGGTGGGAGAACCACCAGAGACAGAGTGGGGAGCAGAACAGGCAGATCGAGGAAGTACACTGCTGAGGGGAGCAGCGGGCGGGTCAGGAAAGGTCTGCCACACCATGTGGTCACCTCCGGGGCAGATGGGGATCGAACTCATGCGGAAGTGGCTTTAGCTTCTTAGTGCTGTGCTTTAACCCGCTGCACCACCAGGGAGCGCCGGGCCTACATGTTTTTAAAAAGTGAATTAAAGAAAGTAGTTCCAGGGTAGCTGGCCCATGAATGGGGCCGTCACCCACTGGCTCCCAGGGAGGTAGTACAGGCACCTGCAGGCCTCAGGGTACGGGGGCAACGGGGTCCCAACGTGGGGAGAAGTGAGCTCGACCCCTAGAGACATGCCCTGTGTCCCCTGACATCGACCCAACCCTTAAAAAGTTAACATCTGTGTTTATTAAGTTACCTTTGTTCCCACAGAAAAAAAGGATAAAGAAAAAAAGGAAAAGAAGAAGAAGGCAAAAAAGGCTTCAGCTAAAGACACTGATTCACTGTTGCAGAAAAAGAAGAAGAAGGTATAGTGAGTTTCTGAGGCCGAAAAAGGGGGCCCAGGCTCATTGGCCCATCCCATGCAAATCTGCGTGCAGCCAGGCAACCAGAGCCCTTCTGCCCAGCCTGTCCTGGGTCTAGCGGGGAGGGGGCGTGTGAGTTGTGGCCCGTGACAGGAGCAGGCCTGTGCTACCATGAGGAGGGTGACGTCAGTCACGGAAGCCAGGCAGTGGCCTGCCTGGCCAGTGAGGCAGAAGGATTAGTTGGTGTAAGCCAGAGAAGGAGACATCCCAGGAACCAGGCAAATGGAACTGTTCTTGGGATGCGCTGCCCTGACAGGAGCCTCACTGCAAACACCACGCCGCCCTGCAGGGCTCAGCCCCTGTGCACAGCCTACATGGCTGAGGGCGCGGCTGTGTTCAGAGATGGTAATGCTGTGGCTGCCACGTCCTGGAGCACTGTTCCTCTCTTGGGGGTCCCTATATTCCCCACCTTTGTCCTGGGAGGGGGGGTGTCACCTCTACATAAGAACCTCTCGCATCTCTCTTCGCAGAAGAAGATGGCAGAGCAGGCCGTCTGAGGGCACAAGCGTCAGGTAGGTATCCTGGTCAGGGTACCCCTGCAGACCGCCCCTCCCTGACTTGAGAGGATGGGAGGACAGCTCCCAGGACACTGCCAGGTCCTGGTAGCGGAGGCCCTGGGGAGGGGCGCTACAGTTGCTTCTGGTGCCTCAAGATCAGTGGGGCGAGACCCGGGACTAGTGTGGCAGTCAGACTCCAGAAGAGTCACAGCAGCGGCCGGCCCTGAGTGGCCCTGCAGTTGTGTCTCCTGGATGAGATGAGGCCTGAGCTGTCGGGTTCAGCTGGTCCCCTCGTGCTTGCGGCTTGTGTTTGTTTCCTTGTGGTGAGTACTTGGCGTCGACTCGCAGGAAGGAAGGTGGCTCGTTCCAGATGAGCTATTCCCGTGCACCTGCTGGGGCTGGGGCTGTGTGCCGGGGTGAGGTACGTCACCTCACTGAGCGAACCGTGAGTGGGGCTGACGCGGCCTGCCATGAGGGTTATGTAAAGCTCAGCACCAAAACCGTTGGCCGTTCCCCAGAACACAGTCCTCACTCAAGTGTCCGCTGCAGTCAGCGAGTGCCCTTCCCTGCAGCCACAACATCAGTTGTTGATTTGATTTGATTTGATTTAATTTGATTCGATTCTCCTTGGAGAAAAAGGTCAGGAAATCATATCTGTGTTTCCTTCCCCAGGGATTTCTTAGCCAAGTGGTGACCAGCCCCCTGCCTCTGCCCTCTGCCGACTACAAGTTGGAATTAAATTTCTAACCTTCCGTCCCTCCCCAGAAGATGGCCAGCGTAGACACACACGCAGAGAGCAGCAGCCCTCAGGGCTGGTCAGAGGAGGACGCCCGGCTCCCTGGCCCTGCTTGCTGACCCTCGCCTGACTTCTGTCCCAGCACAGGACACTTCGTATAGATGTGTACAGTATATATATTTTTTTAAGTGACCTAACCCGTGCCCTCCAGAACCGCCGTGCCCAGTGGCCTCGGACTTTCCACCTCTGCCCTGCAGCTCCATCCCTGCCCTGGTCTCCAGCTGATGCCAAGGCTCTGTCCTCCTTCTGTCAGTTTTTCCCATATTGTTTGTGGGGTTTTTTGTAAGAACTCAGAAAATAAAAGACTTGAAGGAAAAGTGCAAGTTTCCAGTGCATCTGAGGCATAGTTTTGCTGTTGACTTCTCCTTGGAAGGGAATCTGGTGGGCACTTGGAGGTGGACAGACCAGCACCTGGCATTTGCTCATGTGGCCATGCAGACGCGGGCTGTGTGAATGGAAGCGTGCGCTACGTGAGTGCCCTGGGGTTGAATTGGGGCAAGGGGGCTTCCTGGAGGAAGGTTATGGTGTCACACTCACGCAGGCTACGCAAATTCCCAGAGGCCTTCCCTAGCTAAAGCTAGGACTTGACCGGGGGCGGCCATCGCAAGGCGCAGGATGGACAAAGCTGAGGCAGGTTTAACAGGAACAGGAAAACCACTTTGGGCTGAGTTGCCCGTGTCCAGTAGAGGAAGGATTCGTGATAATGAAGACAAAAAGCGGAGGCACTGGAAAGGTATGTCTGGTGACAGTGAACACACCTCTGTTGGCCCAGATCAGGGAAGAGCATCTGGGGCCATGGAGACAGAGTTCTCTCCAAGGCCATGACCTTCTGCTGCAAGCAGCAGGATGCTGTGCAGGAAGAGCAAACTGGGCTGAGGCCTTGGGGGCCAATTTAGCATCCAGCTGTCCCTTAACCCTGGGCTGCATGCCCAGAGCATCCCTCCCCCAGTAAGCATGTTGGTCAGAACAGAGGGTTCCGATGGCTTCAGTGACCCACAGCAAATCTTCAAACTTAGAAATGGAGGAATTTCACTACACTTGATTTGGGGCTCTGCAAAAGTGTAAGAAAGCAGCCACTGGGGGCGCCTAGCATAGCTGTCCCTTAGGGCATGACCACAGCCCCCTCCCGCAGCCCCCAAACCGGGGCTGGCGCCATCTGTCCTTCCACTGGCTGTTCCTAATGTAGAAATGGAAATGGGGATGGCGGGGGAACGGTGCTGGAAGTCCCCGGGACGAGCTGGTGCTAGGGAACTGTGGGCCACAGCCTGTGTTTCTCTAGAAGTAAATAGTCCTGGAAAGTGAGTGAGCCTGGGGGGCCTCCCTAGGTCGTTCTCGCACGCACATTCCGGATCCAGAGTCTTCAGTCACCTTGTGGTAAAGAAACAGCCAGAAGTGTTCTACTTCCTACCTTTTATTCTCACACAAGCCAAAGTCCTCAGGGCCGGGGACAAGCTTGCTGGAGGGGACTAGGGTTTGGCAGAATAAGGAGCTGGAGAGAGGCTGGTGGTTTCATCCCCAGTTAAACTGGATGAAAAGCTGAGGACCTGGAGCTCGAAGCTGTGTGGGTGTAAGTACAAACGTGTACATGTTTCTCGTGTGCATGCCCGTGGCGTGTGTGTGCAGAGCGCTATCTGTGGTGTCATGTCAAGGCAGCAAAGAAGCTGTGGTCAAGCCCGGCTGGCTGGAAGCTGGTCCCTGCTGCGGTGATCACATGGGGCCTGCAGAGAGAAGCAGCAGTTAGGGTTGGAGTTCTCTGTTGTCCTTCCTTCCCGGCCTCCACCCTCCGCTGCCCCCTGCCCAGGTGCAAGCACTGACCATCGCAGAGTGTGACCTCACTTCCCTGCACCCCAGCCCTGGTCCTCATCTGTGAAAGAGGCTTCCCAGGGAGGCTGGAGAAAAGCCTGGCTCTTGTGTCCACCCATAGGGAATCAGCCCCAACACCCCATTATGCCTTGCTGGGGACATCAGTCCACATGGGGCCTTTACCTAGTTCCAGCTCCTGCTTGGTCACTCCCAGCCCGGACGACGGGTACTCCATCTCCAGCGGGTCTGCACGGGAGCACAAGTCCAGGTGTTATTTGTAGTCCAGAACCCTGCTCGCAGCAGCGAGGTGCTGGAGCCAAGACTCCCACCTAGCACAGCCTAGTCCTGGTACAGAAGCCCCAGGGGACAGTGCCTGCTGCAGTGCGTGAGCTGGTGATGAAATGAGGTGGGAGTCTGTGGACTCTGGGTGCCCACATGGATGACACGCGCATGGGGACGTGACAAAGATGCACCAGGAGGGACCTCTCGAGCCTGAGCCTGCCTGCTGCTCGCTCCCTGCACCACGCCACTGCTTACCACTGCAGTTGTGGTGCCCGCGGCTCCTGGTGTGGGGGACCTCCGTGCCGTTGGGGAAGATGCACCAGCAGTAGCCGGTGCTGCCATAGCACTGGAGCGGCATATAGTTGCCATTCTCGTCGCACTGGGGACGGAACCTGCCCGGGTGGACGGCCGGGATGCGGCTGACCTCTTCCTGGCACTGGGTCAGTGCTGCAGCAACAGGCACGGTGAAGACAGTGAGTGAGCACGCTCCAGGCCAGCCTCGGCGGGAGCAGGGAACCACGGCCACTCTGGCCTGCTGGTGCCTGCGCCCAACTGGCTAAACTCACTCTACAGGAGAAGCTGAGGTCTGGACGAGCAAGGCCCAGACTCCAAGAGGAAGTGAATGGCTGCGTGACCACTTCATCCCAGAACTTGATTTCTTCTGACGTTCGAATGTCTAAGAAACTTTGGAATGGCACCTATTTTTCTGAGTTCTAGAGAAAAGCAATGGAAGTCTGAGCTTCCATTACTGGGGGTATCAGTGTAGAAGTGGGGTGCTGTAAAGGGGATCCTGGGAGGTAGTGGAGAGCATATCTAAGATGCTGTCTATCAAGCTGTTGGAGAAAACTAAAGCTGGCAGCAGGGTGAGCTCTTGATTCTCTACTTCAAGACAAGCCCTGCGAGAAGAGACACCCCAAATCGCCTGTTACAGACTTTAGGCCTAAAAGTCCTGGCATACATTATCCATGAGATGGAAAAACCCCAAGGTCCCTGTGGCTGGCCCCCCATGGTGGCTGGTGACCCCAGAGCCCTCTGCAGGGTAGGACCCTGCACCTGCAGAGTGCAGGGCTGGGGAAGGTCACTATGACGATGCTGGCTATTGCTCCAGGCACGCTTGCTGTGTCATCCGCCAAAGGGAAGACGACCTCCTGGCAAGAGACCACTATACCCCATGAGACTTCAGACAGGAGGGAGTTTGGGGGTGTGGCGAGGGGGGGGGTTGAGGGGGGCGGATGCCAACCCAGAAGGAACAGGCAGGAGAGAGAATGAAAGAAAGGAAGAGTTTGGCGCTTGGATCAGGTGGTTGTCCACCTCCAGAAGGTACTGGGAGAGCTCCCCGAAGCCCTGAACCCTCAGGCTCCCAGTCCTTGTACCTTTGGTTGGAGCCTGAGTGGAAGTCTCTTCCAGCGAGTTCTTGCTCATTTCAAACAACAGCCACTGATGCATCCAGCTCTCAAAGACCTGATAGGAACAGGCAGAAAGCATCAGGCTCTAGCCCCGCCCCGGGGCTAGACAGGAGCACCTTGGAATCCAACTGTAGCCAGGTTCTCCAACTCCACTCCCAGTGTTTGGTTCCCTCGATTCCAAGCACCCTCTGTCGTCACTGCTTTGTCAGTGCTGGGAACCCACTCTAGCTTCCTAGCTAACTTCCCAGCCCGCCCTTCACCCCACCTCCTCCCAGCCCAGCACCAGACACCAGGAGGGAGGACACAATACAGGAAAAACAGCGAACCTTCCAATCCAGGCCCTGCAAGGTGCTCTTAAGGTGATTGAGGTTCTCTGGGAAGTTCCCCTTCATCTGCGGGTACACCTTCAGGGGGTCAGACTTCTGTGGGGAGCAGAACAGGAAGGTTTAAAAAGAACAACCTGGCAGGCCAGGTGAAATGTTTCCCTGGTCTCCCATCCTGAGGGGCGTGACCCAAGATGCACCAAGCTCAGGCCCCACACCTAAGCCAGGATGGACTTGGGGACAGAGATGGTCGGGGAGGCAATTCAGTTGTCCTGCAGCAGCACTCCAAGCCCAGGAGCCAGGAGACCAGGTTCCAAACCCAGCTCTGCTAGTCACTCCCAGGCTTCTTCCCTAGGTGCCTCATCTTTCAGGTTTCACCTCCACCAAGTCCTTTTCTTCATAAAGTCCCCTTCATTTCTCTCACCACCTGGTCACTTGCTTGTCCCACAGGCTGACCTGGGACTCCTATGGGATGGGAAGTTGATACTTCCCAGTGTGAGCCCAGAGCCTTGCACAATGCCGGTCACACAGTAGATACACAGTTTAAAAAAAAAAAAATGGGGAGGTAAACAAGGTCTTAAGCACATCATTTCCAGGGTTTGAGCTTTGGTTGCTCCATCTCAAGTGCTCAGAAAGGCAGGTGAGGTAAGACCATGGGCTAAACAGGCTGTTTCGGGCCACACTTGTGTTGCTTTTGCTAATCCAACAAGCCTGTGCCGACTCTGCTGTGACCAGGCGTGGGACGGCCCAGGAGCACAGCCTCACGGGCCGGGCCCTGTGTGAGTATGAAAGCCCTTCGGCAGGCCCCACTCACCATCAGCAGGTGCATCACGTGGTCCTGTGTGGTGTTGCCGTACTTGGTGGCATTCTGCATGGGCTGTGGAGAGAAGGAACAAGGTCACTAACACTGGCCCTCAGAGGACGAACCCTGGAGTGGACCCAGCAGCCAGGGGATGGGTGAGTTTGAAGCCTAAGGACTCAGAGGGCCCATTTCTGCCACCTCCTCACAGGAGAGCTCAGGTGAGTCACTTCACCTCCCTACTTCCATGTCCTTATTGGTCAAATCTCCATAAACTTCCTGCCCTGGGCTTTGTGGACGGTTTTTGTGAGCAGAAATGCCATTCATATATGATATCGAAGGCTCTGAGAATGGATAGAGATCCCCAAGAAATTCTTTTCCACCCCACCCCACCACCAGCCCTGGGAGCCCTCTTCCTGTGGTGGGCTCTGTCCTGCCCAGCTTGTGAGGTCTCTGCCCCAGGTGGTTTTCTCCAGGTCTGTCTTCCTTGCCTCCCCTCCCCCCACATCCCCCACATCCCCCACCTCCACTCAGCATGTCCCCTCCATCCTGCTAGATAACACTCACTGGGGCTGTCCTTACCCTCTGGAGCAGACCTTCCATGGGCAGTGCCTGCATCAGCATGGGAGTAGCCATCCGCATCTTGCCCACAGGCTTGGCAGCTGTGGGGGAGGGATACAGCATGAGTATGGCCCAGAGCCCAGGAAAGGATACTCAGATCCTGGGCCTGAGGAGGGGCTGCAATTACAGAGCAGAGGGAGGAGAGTGGACCCAGCTGGGTGAGTTGGGAGCTGGAGGGGTGGGGGGTCAGGACAGAGTGGGGTGGGGTGCTCACACTTGGGAAGCTTCATGCGCAGGTTCTCCAGCTGCAGGGTCTGCGAAGTGGCTGTCAGCCTGTCCAGCTGGCCCTGCTGGTGGTACAGGAAGTAGGCCGTGGTGGCCTGGCCGGCCAAGAGCAGAGCCACCAGCACAGAGAAGCTTGTGTACAGGGCTCCACGGCTACACTTGCTGCAGGGGAGAGGGGAGAGAGGTCAGAGGAGGGTTCACAGAGGTGGCTCCTCTGAGGGCATATGGGAGTGGTGAATGTGACTCCCCATTTCCAGCAAACCTCGCCAAGTTACCCCTAACAAACACATTTGTGTGCAAACAGTAAATGCCTGTCAACACCCCATTCGAAGACATGGTCCTGGCTCCTTACTGCCGCCCCTAAATTTCTTAGTAGGATTCTGTGTGAGGAGGTTGGGGTGTACGCTTGGTCCTCTTAGACCTCATCACCAGTGCAATGAGAGGCTCAGGGGAAGGCCTCACTAGGGCTCTCTTTGCCATGGAATTTCCTGAAGATGAGGGCTGCCTTAGGGAGAAAGGGGTTCTTCATCTCCTGCCATCCTCAACCCTCTAACTTGTAGTCTGTTCTCCGACATCTCCTTCAGCCATGCAATCAGATTTGACGAGAAAAGGAAGTAAGACCAGGACCACGGAGACTGCAACCCACTTGAAAAAAGAGAAGTGAGGTCTAGGAGTGGGGTTAGGGGCCCTGGCCAACGTGAAGCTGGAACAAGGCCAGGCACCACCCCTTCTGGGGGTCACATCCTCTCCCCAGACTCTGAGTCTATAAGCAAATCCCTGCCTCAGCGAGAGTGGAGCTCCAATGAGAATAAGCCATGTCTGTGACGTCATGAGTTCCTAGGCAAATAGATCTCCTGGCGTTTCCAAAACCTAGTCTCTCTTCCTAATCATTTTCCAGGGCATCCCAGTAGACCCCTCCCTGAAGTGAGATAGGAGAGAACATGTCAGGAGTTCAGTATCCTGGGGCAGGATCCTTATAGCTCTCACACTGTCACCTGTCCACATGCTCCCCAAACCTCCCCCAAGCCGTCAGCTGCAAGAGCTCCCCTCTGATTTGTGGCACATGACAGAGCAGCCACAGCTCATTCTCACGGGTTCTCTGCATACCAGACCCTACTGACAGGCTAATATTCTGAGAGAAAGTTAAACCCTGTGTGTGGAAAAGTCAGACAGGAAAGGGGAAGTAACCCCACTTTTGGCCTGTGTGGGGAACAGAGGTAGGCTAGCCTGTAAAGGTGGTGCACTGTCTAGTGCCAGTCTTGTGGCAAGACCTGAGCCTGGTCTTGTCTGGTTCAAGCTTCAATCTGCTACCTCCAACCACATCCTCATGCCCTGTCTAGTGCCAGTTCTGCTTCTTGGCACTGGAACTATGGGGAGAACCTCCCTTTGCTGAACCTCAGTTTCTTATAAGGACAGAGTCTAGATTCACCGTGAAGATGACTGTACAGCCTGGAATCCTAGCCCTCCTTGACGGGGGCCAATCATGTCTCCTAGCTGCCTCTCCTGGTCACTGTGTAAGACCTTACCCTTGAAGGCTAGCTATGTTGCCTAAATCAGGAGGACACAGCACTGGGCGGCCCACCATCCAGGAACTCCTCCATGTGCTTAGTACTCCACGGGTCACACTGTTGTTCTCAGGGAAGTTAATAATTAGCTTTAACATCTGGTTTCCTTCCTCTTTGTGCATCATGAATGCCTGTCCATTGGCTCTGGATGAGAGCCAACTCATCACGCTCTTCATTTCCTCCTATTGCCTCCTTTTTGAGTTTAAAAAAAAAAAAAACAACCACACACAGTGGCTCAAAGTCAGGAGCCAACCAGAACAAGGGAAATCTTGACACATGTGTTGCCAGGCAGAAGTCTTCAAGAAAGGGTCCAAAACAGACTCCAGTCTGGGGTGGCTTGAGCACAGGTGGGAGCAATTTTTGAGCAGGAACTGAATGAAAGGAAAGCTGACAGGGATGTGCTGAAGAGCATGTTCTCAGGCACCAGGCACTGGGTCTGCTGCTCCTGGTGGCCTGAGCTCAGAGGCTCCCACCTCCCCTCCCTTCAAACTGTGCCTCTAGAAAGGCCAGGTAGTAGAATAAGCTCCAACTTGATCAAATTCACTCGCTATGATAATTAGGACCATCTCATACCTATGTGAGTCTCCTGTGAAAAGGAAGTAACAAAAGGGTGACCTGTGAGACACATAGGGTACCAGGAGAGCTAGGATTGAGTGCAGCAGTCCGCTGTGTCCAGAAAATAACTAGCCACCGTCACTATTAACGGTGACTAAGGGCTAGGACAGGTACATAGAAAATGGGAACGACTATGTGACTGTCCTGTCACCAAGAGAGAAGAAACAGTGATTCACCCAAGTCACAGGAGACAAGTAGCAGCATCAAGCCAGAATCCAGGCCTCACAAGAGTGGCCCTTCCAGTCGTGGGGTTCACAGCCACTGCGCCATAGCTGTTACACCTGGTTATCTGTGCCCCAGACACACAGCTCTACCTCACATCTCTAAGTGTCTCTCCCAAGCCCCCTTCTGCCTGCCAACAGCTGACATCACAACTTGCAACTTGCAAATTACTTGTTGCAGACTGGGGACAACAGAAACATTTGGGTAGCTGCATTCTACCTCCCCGCCCTGTCTTCAGGGGAACACATGGGTGAAGCCATCTTGAAGCTGTGTGAAGGGACCCAGAACCTCTGTATAGGACTGAGCACTTGCTCCAAGAGAAGGGGGAACAAACAGGATCTCCCCCTCATCTGCCCTCAGCCCCTTGTAGGAATCCAGGAATCCAGGCAGAGAACCTTGCACACTTTCCTGACCCCCTTCAACCTCTCTCAATGCGCACTATAACATCAGAGAGCTCCAGCACTCTCCAGACACAGTCCCCTTGATACCAACCCATAACCCCACCCCGGCAATGAGGAGGAAGCTCCTCTGTGGTGGGCTGCTTCTCTCTGAGGAATTCTGTTTCTCTGTCTAAGATCCATACCATGTTCCCAATAGGGTCTGAGGTGTCTGATCTGGGTTCATGACCCAGCTTCAGAGAGGTCTGGGAAGCCCCAGTGAATCAAGGAGCACCTGGAACACTCTCCAGATTTTCAGAAGTACATGATGCAAAGAGAGTGTGAACCCCAACCCTGGAGGGGCTCCTCATTTTACAGGAGAGACAAGTAAAGCCCAGAATGGGCCAGAGACTTGCTCAAATCATCAGCCATATTAGAACGAGAGCCGGACCTGTCCCCTTTCTCTGGGCTAGTGCGCCTCACTGGCCCATCTGTGTGGTCAGCACTGGCACCTGCCTGCTGCTCATACGTACCTCTCGTGGACTCCAGGGCGCTGGCCCAGCATGGGCAGCTGCTCATGGTTGGAGATGAGGTCACGCTGGTCCTCCATGGTCCACCCTCTGGTCTTGCCCACAACTCCTGCTTCTGTGGCTGCTCCCTGTGTATCTGAGATCCTGAACTGGAGGCTCACCTCTTGAAGTTGGGGCTGAGGAAGAATCTGATTGGTCCACAGGAGGCCGCTCCACCCCCCAGTAGAAGTGGAAGTGAAAGCCACAAAGCTGGAAATACCCCAACTTGGGCAAAGCTGTCTTTAGTAGGGGAAGCCCCCCCAGGCAGGTAGAGAGCCCTGCACACTCCTATTGGCTGCCCAGGGCCTTCATCACTTGTTCCCAGGCAGAACTATGGATTCCTAAGGCTCGTTAGATGTTTTGGAGAAACAGGCCAGTGAGTTCACTCTCCAGCCAGGAAATCACTTTGAAGTAGAAAAGACCTTTGTCCTGCTCACTCAGGGATAAGTGGGTGTCAAAGGGGCTGCTCACCTAGATGAGCTTAGCCAAGTCCCACTCCTCTCTGGTATGTTAGGTCATCTCAAAATCAACGAGGAAAGTTGGTGTTCGTTCTGTTCCCTTCTCAGGCGAGAATTTCTGAAGCCCACCTTCCGCAGCTGGTAGTAATAGCTGCCACCATTGTGCCAAGTGGTGTGCTCGTCACTTTACAGGCTTTGTTTCATTTCATCTTTCCAGCAGTGCTTTGAGGGCTGTTTTTTTTTTTTTTT